CATAATCTCCATGAGGTTTGCTATTCCAAGTGTACTAACTCCAACTTGAGTCAGATCTTCCACCTCCAAATAATTAACACAATCAATAAACTCATGCATACTCGAAGTGACTGAAGTATTACCCCCCAAACATTCATTAATCTTCAGAGTAACATTGAAACCCAAAAGAAGCCACGGATGGCTGCCCACCCTGTTACTATACTGATTGAGACTAGACCACAAAGTTCTTCTATTAATATAACAGTTAGCAGCATAGATGAAGGACACATTGAACAGCCTCTATCCTACAGGATCGCTAACCAAGCAATGGATCACTTGGGGCTAAGACTCTAGAACTTCCACTCTATACAAGGAAGGGTCCCATCCCACAACAATACGACATCCCTGGTTACTCTGGTCAGCATTAGAATTCCAGTTCCAGTTACGAAACACAATATCAAAAATTCATTGACAATTAGGAAGGGCAACCCTCGTTCCTAACAACCCACACAACGCAACTTGCTTAGAACGCAAAAAGTGATGAACTTCAGAATGCTTCAAAGGTTGATTAAGCCCCCGAACGTTCCAGCAAGCAACATTAGGCAAACTTATTGGCACACTTCAGAGGGTGGAGGTTGCTCAATCCCATCCCCAGGAACAAACTCAATAGTAGAGCTCTTCTCAGATACCCCTTCCATGACAAATTCAAACACAGGAACCTGATCAGAATACACCTCAACCGTATCCTCCTCTTGATTAACTTCTAGTTCCATACCACTCCTCTTCCCAATGGCCACACCAATAGACTTCGGGGTTTTAGGGGGTTGATCAACTGGCTCTTCAACAGGCATCGAAGATAAGCTTTGCAATCTATTCTTGGTACTATTCTCGAGACTGTCCTTCCGAACAACCGGCTGCTTAGTTTTTGAACCAAAACAAGATTTAGGGGTGAGGGGCTTCTTGGTCTAAGCAACTTGCACGGGAGGCACCTGGATCAAAACTGGAATTTGGTTAGAAAATGCAGATAATTTTTTTTTTTTTTTTTTTTTTACCTTTCTGCTAAACCAATTGGAATCCTTCCCAATCCATGGCATTCAAGCAATCCGCATTTTTTGAGGGGCTTTTGGAAGTCTCAATGGCTTAGGTTTCTGCTGGTAAGGGCAATTAGAATCTTTATGCCAAAAAACCGAACACTTCTCACATCTGGAAGGTTTCTACTAATACTCCAACCGAACAATCATCAGCTTCTGACCAGAATCCTCACACAGAGTACCAAACTCCATAATCTCAGGAAGGGCATTAGAGGCCTCAACTTCAACCAGCACACGAGCAAACCCAATACGACCTGCTCCTACCTTGTAAGTATCCTCGGTGACCTTATCAAGCCCTAAGGGCCTACCAACACCACTTGTAATATAATTGAGCCCAACATTGTTCCAATATTCCATAGGTACATCAAAAAGCTTAATCCATAAAGGAACCACTTTAGGGGCTTCCTTATAAAGATCTGTAACGCCTGCTCTCTATTACTATTCTTATAGTTCATACTATGTAAATTATAGATATACATAGCGTATGAAAAATAGTGGGCTCAAAAGTTTTCTTTACTCAATAAAATGATAATTCTTTACAAATACAATATACTATGTATTAAAAATTTCTACTTAATACAAAATTCATAGTTGGTGGACAGTAGTGCCAACTCTCGCTCCTCGACGTTCATCGACTGCTGCTTCTATTTCCTGCAAAACAGGGAAGAAAAATGGTGAGCACAACAATGCTCAGTAAGTAAATCCTTTACACCTGTCCCCCGCAACCTCTTTGGTTCTTTCCTTACTCTATCATTATTCATTCTAATTTCACTGTTTTTCTCTTTCTTTCTAATACTTTTTTTCCTTTAACTCTGTTCTGCTTTTTATTCTTATTTCTCTTGTCTTATTCTTTTTCTCATTCTCTTATTCTTACCATGAAAGAAAATCATGGTTCTCTCTTATTCTCATCATAATCACCATGAAGGAAAATCATGGTTTCTCTATTATCGTCATACTCACCATGAAGGAAAATCATGGTTCTTTCTCTTTCTTATCGTATACTCTCACTACCATGGAAGAACTCATGGTGCAGCATGTAGGAGATGTAACATGCAATTAATGCAAAGAACTGCATGTCTTTCTTCTACTCTCTATTCTTACTAACTCAAACTCTCTCATTCTTTCTCATACTCTCTCTCTTTTATTCATTCTTTCTCAAGCTTTCTATCTTTCTCATTTTTCTATTATCTCATTCTCATAATTCATTTCTACTAACTCGCTCTTTGAATGTCATGGCCCCATCTTTGGAGACACGGGGACTTCTCTGCTTACATGACTTCTACTGATTCTCTTTTTGTCTCTCTTTCTCATAACTCTTTTTCTGTTAACTTTATGTTGTAGGTCACGGCCTCATCTTACCGGAGGCAGGCTGGGTACTCATCCCACTCTTCGTAATCACTCATTGTCTCTCTTTACTCTTTCTATGTTTGCTCATTCTTCCTCACTTGCATGCCACGACCTCATCTTACCGGAGGCAAGGCTAGGTGGAGATCACAAAGCACCAACCCACTCTTTGTGACTTCTACTCATTCTTTGCTGATCGGATCAGTATGATGGATCGGAAACCTTGGCCACGTGAGTGTGTTCTCTCTCTTCTCTGATGTCACGGCCTATCTAACCAGAGGCACGGTTGGAAACTCATGTTCCACTCTTCGTGACGGTCACGGCCCCATCTAACCGGAGGCATGGCTGGGGATAACAAAAGTGCCCACTGTGACGTTACTCATCACTCACGGGTTCCCATCGCACAACCTACTCTATTCTTTTGTAGCACTTTCTCCTTTTATTCGCTAGTGCCAATCTGTCTTTCTCTTACTATTAGAGTGTTCTCATTCTCTTACTCTTAGAGTTGCTATTCTCAAATTCTCTACTCTTTCTCACTCAAACTATTACTCATAGTATAGCTTATACTCAAAATTCTCTACTCTGTGCTCAAGCTAATACTCATTCTTTCCTCAAGCTAGTACTCAATAGTATAGCTTAACTCTTAGGGTAGTCTATTCACAAAGTTATCTACTCTTTCTAAGCTATACTCTTAGAGTATTCTATTCACAACAGTTCTCACTCTATCTCAAGCTTATTCATAATGTAGCTCATACTCAACATTTTTACTCTTATCCCAGCTACCATTCAATACACAATTAATGCATATGGATGGTTCATGTCATTAACACTTATGAAATGCCAAATGCATATTGCATTAAAACAGTTATTCTGCGCAGGGACACCAAGAAGCCATAACTTGAGTTATACACCTCGGATTGCTACGGTTTGGTCTCGTTTTAACTTAGAGACAGGGCTACAACTTTTATGTTGGTCTAAAACAGTTCAATCCGTAAGATGCCAAAAATCACTTAGAAAGTCACGGCTGTGACAGGACGTTTGGTAACATTTTTCACTTAGGCATTTCATCAAAAAACTCATGTGCATACAAAAACTCCTCTATAACTACAAATCTATTCTCTTTTAATCATCCAAAATGAGAAGTAACTCCCTTCTATGAACATAATTCCTATCATAGAAGAACACTCCTCAAAAATTTACAATCTCCTCCAACTATCTCAAAATCTCACATATCAACACTTCCATAAAGGAAACATATCCAACAAACACAACATAATATTCATTTCAAATCCATTTCTCAACAAGTAGACAACATCTCTACTCAATTTTCAACAAGCATATATATAACAGCATAAAGAAAATCTTACTCCAAAGATTCTTAAACTTTAGCTTGAGTTGATTTACTTACCTCCTACTTGAGTAGTCTTCACACAAAATCTCTACTCTTGTTGGACCTTAGCTTTCCCTATTCTAAGCATAAACTTGTAAGAACTTAACCCTTACATAAATAAAAACTCAACTAGAGTAGAGATTCTTACCTCTTCTTGCTTAGGATCAATCTTTGTCAAATCCTAACTCAAAACTCTCAAAAATCCCTGAAAATTGAGTGAGGAATTGAGAGAAAATGGGAGATGAAGAGGCGGTGGAATGGGTGAAATGAAGGGGTTTAGAGAACTAAAATCTTATTAGTTATATATATACACTCTTTCCTATTTTGCCCTTACTCTTTCTTGAAAATTTTACCTTTATCCTTTGATCATTACACTACACCCCACACTAACCTATTCTCTATGAAATTTTTTTGCATTTTACTCCCCACTTTTCCTGCTAATTAGGGGTAGAATGGTCATTTGCCTTAGAAAAGAACTTTAGAAACTCAAACAAAAACTCAGCTGGCCCTTCGCCGCGGCGAGAATCTCTGTCGCCCCAGCGAAGAATTACAGAACCGACACGCCATACACAAGCCAACGTCGCCGCGGCGAAGACTGCAACTCCAAATCTGCTAAGTCTTGATCAATTCAAGGTAAACAATCAACCAAACCCAAAACATAACTCAATCAAGGGCCAACCAAACCACATGAATAAGATACAACCTTATTTAAGGGCAATTCAGTAAACCTTGAGGCCAAACATAAAAAATGGCTATGTATCCAAAAGGGCTGACAAGATCCATGGCAGGTTTCCATTTTTGGAGATGGATGGGTTGGTTCTGAAAGAGCCAGGGCTCGTCTTCAAGGCATTGATGATGTCAGAATCAGATTCAAATTTAAAGAAGAAGAATGCTTTGTCATTTATCATAACATGAGAAAGGCTATACTTCTTCCACATTCGCATCGCTGCTGCTTGGACAACATGGAAAAGAGGCTTCTTCTCAAGAAAAGATCCTACAAGGCAAGATTCCCACTGTTTTGTACCATCTATTGCAACTGAAATAAGAGGTTTGATGGACGGAATACCGCAAGCATTCACAGAACACTTGAAGTAATGTAATGGTAATTTTTCTTTCTAGGGTTTCCCTGAAGTAACATGCACCCAAGACCCAACTATTCTCTTTAGGGATAGAGGAGTAGATTCAGGGGACCCAGTTTGACCAAGCACCTCACTAGAGCTAAAAGGACTAGGGACAATCTGCCCAAAGGCCAAATCTGAATGTTTACTCAGAATTTCCCAGGCCCAGCAGCATAAAGGCATCCCTTAGAGCCTTTGTCTTGAAGGGAATCCTTAGGCCCATCACCAACTTGATGGGCAGCCCAGCCCAAAGACCTTGACCCATCTACCTGACCCGCGTCCATCCCAAAGTGGAAGGATTGCTCGCTGCTATCACCGGCGGTTGAAGCTCCCTGAACCCCAGGCTAGGAGCATCACTACCCACCCCCATTTGAGGCCACCTCCATTTGAGAATCCCGAAATGCTAGAGGGCTACAAGATCGGCTTCGACTTCCCTGATCACCTGCAGACCAGCCAACCTCCCTTTAGACACTTCCCCAAGAATTTCGCCATCAGTACTTCCACCAGCAACCGAACCAGCACACACACCTCCCAGCATTTTTAAATCAATCCCAGGAATTGACTCTGACCCCTGTTTCTCACCTCCATCACAGTCACTATGGCTGTCCCCAGCCCCAGAAGAAGAGCGACTAACCCCTGAGTCCGAGCGAGAATCCTCCCCAAAATAATCATTATCAAACGAAATGTTACCCAAATTTTTCTTAGACACACCAGAAACTTTCTTAATGCTACCCTTAGGTTTCATTTTGGGAAACATCAACAGCCTTACAGCAGAAAAGGAACACAGAGCAGACAGATCTGAGAAAGAAAAGAAAAAACTATTGACCGGGGACGCCGGCGAACCCCAGGTGACACTCGTGACTGCCCCTTATCAGAGCAGACTTTGAGCCACCACTTTAGAACTGACGCAAACCCAAGAAGCACTCACCCACAATCGCTCCAGTTGAGAGAGTTTTTCTCTTACTAAAAAAGGTGAGAGAAGATGGAGAGATTTTTTCTCCCTCATGGTAATGAACTAATTTTTTATAACTTGGAACGCCATGGTCTAAGGAGCTAAAGGATGTGACGTTAAAGGTGGTGGTCAAGGTAAAGAAGAATGTGAGAATGTGTGTGTGTGTAGGGAGGGTGAACTCAGCTGAAGGATCAATCGAGAGAAAGAATCACCACTGGGAGCATTTCATTCTAGAAGATGAGCGGATTAATTAGCAGTCGGCTGCTTATAAGGAAGAGGATAAACTATCAGGTATGTTCGAAAGGGTGTTGCTGCTTCACACTGATAAAAATGGTATGCCTCCGGTGTGCACTAGTGAGGATCATGTTGAAGCTTTGTAGACTAAATCAAGCAGCAGCGTGCAGCAAAATGGACAATCAAATGTATCTAACAGTAGGAAATCTTGTGCCAGGAAGTGAGGAAAGAAGAAGGAAACAGTGGATTGGAGACTCTTTTAAATCTCAGCGCACAAGCTGCTTTCACTGATGACTACAGGACTGCGAATGAACTACGAAGGCAGATTAGGCAGTACAATTCCCCTTCTGGTGACTGGTCTCGGAGCCTGGTTCATTTCTTCATCATTGGTCTTGAAGCACGCTTGGCTGGAAGTGGAGTAGGAACAAAAAGTAACTCTCTGTTTCTATCTCCAAAGAAAACAGCGGCTGATATATAGAATGCTTATAAATTTTTAAGTTTCTGCCAGTCCATTTAATATGTTTGACATTTTATTTCCAAACAAAATGATTATGCATGAGTATGTAAAAGCAACAACAATTCACATTGTAGATTTTGGCATTGCATATGGTTTCCAGTGGTCAATCATCCTCTCTCAATGAGATCCGGTGGCCCTCCCAAGCTATGGATAACTGGGATATAGCCTCCCCATCCTGGTTTCCGACCAGCTGAAGAATTAGGGAAACAGGTTGTTGCTGGGCTAATATTGTGAAAGCTTTAATGTTCCATCTTAGTACAATGCATAACATCACATAAATGGGAAACTATCCAAAGCTTGATACTTCTGAGGTTCTAGCAGGGAACTTTCTGTTTCAGTTTAAGAAGGTTCTTGATGAGACATATGAAGTAAACTGTCCAAGCCTCCAAGGGATGCTGTCATGAACTTAATTAGAAAGATAGAGCCATATATTTTTGTCCATTTCATTATTAATGTATTTCATAACTCTCCCTTTTTTGTCACAGTTTTAGGAAGCAATTTTGCACTTCTCTTCACTGTTTGATATGTTTGATACTAGGACAACCCTTGAAGATCAAGAGAGGTTAGTGATTGAGAGAGCAATTTATGAGATACCAGGGAACTTTCTGTTTCGAAGGGCTCTCTATGTTTTCTCCTGTTGGGTACCTTCATAGAGTATTCATGGTAAACAATATATATGTTTGAATGAAGAATTGAGATGAGATTCTCCCAGGACCAGAAGCCCTTTCTCTCCAATGCACAAAGAAACAGATCTTTTGATTTCTTTGTACCTGATTCTTTTCTTCTAGCTCCCATTCATCTAATCCCTTAATAAATACAGTATAAATCTTTTGCTCTTGCACATTGTGTTACTCTGCATGGCATTTTTGTTGTTGTTGCCCCACTTTTGTTTCTTTTAAGAAACTCCTGTTGATGGAAATGTGTAGCTGCGGAATTTATGCTTTTTTTGGAGGACTGGTGGACGACTTCTTTGCGATAGAATATCTCAGTCAACTTCACTGGACAATTTTTCATTAGTATTTTGATATCTAAGCATATTATTTTAGCCCCAAATATGCCAAGTTATTTCTGAGATTAAGGCCAAAGCCAACGAGAATAACTTCCAAAAATATGATTGCTGCTTCAGGGATTTAATTTGTAGAATCTTTCTTTTTCTTTTAATTAATAATGGAAGTTATGCTGCAGTGTTGCTTCACATTCATGATCTCAATCAATTTCACCTAACCAAGTAAACGGCAGAAAATGGAGCATTTAAGCATTGCTATCTTCAAAATTTTTGTCGAATCTTTATGCATTAACTCTTTAAGTTTCAATTCTTTAGTGGTCATCGCCCATTATTTGCAGGCTTGGACCCAAAGTAAAGGCCAAAATACTAGGTACTGTTAGAATTATAGTATGTAATATCCTACGATATGCAATACATATCCTATGATCCGATTCAAAACAGGTCGCTAACGATACGTATTAGAAAATATATACTAAACTTTTCAATACATTGATATGTATCCTACGATACGATAAGTATCCATTCATATCCTTAAAAATATCGATACAAATCGATATGACTTTATTAATTTGGGCCAAAGGTCCAACAAAAATTCGGGTCGGATCTAGGTCACCCAACTCGATTCACTAAAATCTACCCAAATTTACCCATTTTGCATGGAGAAAGTGAAAAGGAAAATGGGTTGCCCATTTTACATGATAATAATAACACAATTGGAGATATAGATATTGATATTGATTTTGGAAATAATATGAATGATTGAGAGGAAATGATATAGATTCTTAATTTTGTGATTAATTTTTATTATATAATACTATAATTTAAAGCCAATAATACCACAAAATTCGTTAATCAATCATGGAGATGATATTAATTTTTATAAATTTTTAATATTTTATTAATTTTTTGAAAAATGTGTACGATACGATACGATACGATATGGGATACACGATTTGAAAAATTAGGTTTTCGATACACGATACAATATACGATTTGACAACCATACTTATAAGTGACTGATAAGTAATTGATGCGTTTGATGATACATTTTATTATTAAAATAACTAAAAAATATACTATAATAATATGACCTGTTTGAAATATAAGAATAAAAGTATATTATAGAATTTTAAAGTTAAATAGTAATAATATGGTAATATACTTTGGTGAAACTAACATGCTCATAAGATAAAAAAAAGTATCTTATCTCAACTTTTTTTTTTTTTTTTTCTTATAAGTTCAGTTTATAATCTCAAAATAGCTATAAACAAATATGTTAATTTAATTTTAGAGCTTATAAGTTAATTTGATCAGCTTATTAGCTCAAATAAACACCGCTCTATTTTTATGAGCTGATAGACAAATATTAAAATCAACCTTAAGTGTTTTTTTTTGGGTAAAAAAGATCCATGGCAGGTTTCCATTTTTGGAGATGGATGGGTTGGTTCTGAAAGAGCCAGGGCTCGTCTTCTAGGCATTGATGCATGTCAGAATCAGATTCAAATTTAAAGAAGAAGAATGCTTTGTCATTTATCATAACATGAGAAAGGCTATACTTCTTCCACATTCGCATCGCTGCCGCTTGGACAACATGGAAAAGAGGCTTCTTCTCAAGAAAAGATCCTACAAGGCAAGATTCCCACTGTTTTCTACCATCCATTGCAACTGAAACAGGAGGTTTGATGGACGGAATACCGCAAGCATTCACAGAACGCTTGAAGTAATGTAATGGTAATTTTTCTTTCTAGGGTTTCCCTGAAGTAACATGCACCCAAGACCCAACTATTCTCTTTAGGGATAGAGGAGTAGATTCAGGGGACCCAGTTTGACCAAGCACCTCACTAGAGCTAAAAGGACTAGGGACAATCTGCCAAAAGGCCAAATCTGAATGTTTACTCAGAATTTCCCAGGCCCAGCAGCATAAAGGCATCCCTTAGAGCCTTTGTCTTGAAGGGAATCCTTAGGCCCATCACCAACTTGATGGGCAGCCCAGCCCAAAGACCTTGACCCATCTACCTGACCCGCGTCCATCCCAAAGTGGAAGGATTGCTCGCTGCTATCACCGGCGGTTGAAGCTCCCTGAACCCCAGGCTAGGAGCATCACTACCCACCCCCATTTGAGGCCACCTCCATTTGAGAATCCCGAAATGCTAGAGGGCTACAAGATCGGCTTCGACTTCCCTGATCACCTGCAGACCAGCCAACCTCCCTTTAGACACTTCCCCAAGAATTTCGCCATCAGTACTTCCACCAGCAACCGAACCAGCACACACACCTCCCAGCATTTTTAAATCAATCCCAGGAATTGACTCTGACCCCTGTTTCTCACCTTCATCACAGTCACTATGGCTGTCCCCAGCCCCAGAAGAAGAGCGACTAACCCCTGAGTCCGAGTGAGAATCCTTCCCAAAATAAGCATCATCAAACGAAATGTTACCCAAATTTTTCTTAGACACACCAGAAAATTTCTTAATGCTACCCTTAGGTTTCATTTTGGGAAACATCAACAGCCTTACAGCAGAAAAGGAACACAGAGCAGACAGATCTGAGAAAGAAAAGAAAAAAATATTGATCGGCGGCGCCGGCGAACCCCAGGTGACACCCGTGACTGCCCCTTATCAGAGCAGACTTTGAGTCACCACTTTAGAACAGACGCAAACCCAAGAAGCACTCACCCACAATCGCTCCAGTTGAGAGAGTTTTTCTCTTACTAAAAAAGGACAGAGAAGATGGAGAAATTTTTTCTCCCTTCCGGTAATGAACTAATTTTTTTGTAACTTGGAACGCCATGGTCTAAGGAGCTAAAGGATGTGACGTCAAAGGTGGTGGTCAAGGTAAAGAAGAATGTGAGAATGTGTGTGTGTGTAGGGAGGGTGAACTCAGCTGAAGGATCAATCGAGAGAAAGAATCACCACTGGGAGCATTTCATTCTAGAAGATGAGCGGATTAATTAGCAGTCGGCTGCTTATAAGGAAGAGGATAAACTATCAGGTATGTTCGAAAGGGTGTTGCTGCTTCACACTGATAAAAATGGTATGCCTCCGGTGTGCGCTAGTGAGGATCATGTTGAAGCTTTGTAGACTAAATCAAGCAGCAGCGTGCAGCAAAATGGACAATCAAATGTATCTAACAGTAGGAAATCTTCTGCCAGGAAGTGAGGAAAGAAGAAGGAAACAGTGGATTGGAGACTCTTCTAAATCTCAGCGCACAAGCTGCTTCCACTGATGACTACAGGACTGCGAATGAACTACGAAGGCAGATTAGGCAGTACAATTCCCCTTCTGGTGACTGGTCTCGGAGGCTGGTTCATTTCTTCATCATTGGTCTTGAAGCACGCTTGGCTGGAAGTGGAGTAGGAACAAAAAGTAACTTTCTGTTTCTATCTCCAAAGAAAACAGCGGTTGATATATAGAATGCTTATAAATTTTTAAGTTTCTGCCAATCCATTTAATATGTTTGACATTTTATTTCCAAACAAAATGATTATGCATGAGGCTGTAAAAGCAACAACAATTCACATTGTAGATTTTGGCATTGCATATGGTTTCCAGTGGTCAATCATCCTCTCTCAATGAGATCCGGTGGCCCTCCCAAGCTATGGATAACTGGGATATAGCCTCCCCATCCTGGTTTCCGACCAGCTGAAGAATTAGGGAAACAGGTTGTTGCTGGGCTAATATTGTGAAAGCTTTAATGTTCCATCTTAGTACAATGCATAACATCACATAAATGGGAAACTATCCAAAGCTTGATACTTCTGAGGTTCTAGCAGGGAACTTTCTGTTTCAGTTTAAGAAGGTTCTTGATGAGACATATGAAGTAAACTGTCCAAGCCTCCAAGGGATGCTGTCATGAACTTAATTAGAAAGATAGAGCCATATATTTTTGTCCATTTCATTATTAATGTATTTCATAACTCTCCCTTTTTTGTCACAGTTTTAGGAAGCAATTTTGCACTTCTCTTCACTGTTTGATATGTTTGATACTAGGACAACCCTTGAAGATCAAGAGAGGTTAGTGATTGAGAGAGCAATTTATGAGATACCAGGGAACTTTCTGTTTCGAAGGGCTCTCTATGTTTTCTCCTGTTGGGTACCTTCATAGAGTATTCATGGTAAACAATATATATGTTTGAATGAAGAATTGAGATGAGATTCTCCCAGGACCAGAAGCCCTTTCTCTCCAATGCACAAAGAAACAGATCTTTTGATTTCTTTGTACCTGATTCTTTTCTTCTAGCTCCCATTCATCTAATCCCTTAATAAATACAGTATAAATCTTTTGCTCTTGCACATTGTGTTACTCTGCATGGCATTTTTGTTGTTGTTGCCCCACTTTTGTTTCTTTTAAGAAACTCCTGTTGATGGAAATGTGTAGCTGCGGAATTTATGCTTTTTTTGGAGGACTGGTGGACGACTTCTTTGCGATAGAATATCTCAGTCAACTTCACTGGACAATTTTTCATTAGTATTTTGATATCTAAGCATATTATTTTAGCCCCAAATATGCCAAGTTATTTCTGAGATTAAGGCCAAAGCCAACGAGAATAACGTCCAAAAATATGATTGCGGCTTCAGAGATTTAATTTGTAGAAACTTTCTTTTTCTTTTAATTAATAATGGAAGTTATGTTGCAATGTTGCTTCACATTCATGACCTCAATCAATTTCACCTGACCAAGTAAACGGCAGAAAATGGAGCATTTAAGCATTGCTATCTTCAAAATTTTGTCGAAGCCAAAGTCTTTATGCATTAACTCTTAAGTTTCAATTCTTTAGTGGTCATCGCCCATTATTTGCAGGCTTGGACCCAAAGTAAAGGCCAAAATACTAGGTACTGTTAGAATTATAGTTGGTAGTATCTTACAATATGCGATACATATCGTACGATCTGATTCAATACGGGTTGTCAATGATACGTATCAGAGAATATATTCTAAACTTTTTGATACATTAATATGTATCCTAGGAAAATGAAAAATTGCTCTTTCAATGAACTGGAAGTAATGGTAAACATCATCACATTACGAGGGTGTTTATTAAGCTTATAAAAATTGGCTTGTAAGTAACCAATGTTGTTAGTGCTTATAAGCTAATTTGAGCTTATAAGCATTTTAAATTTAGGTAATTATGTGTTTGGTTAAAGTACTTATAAGCATAGTTATTAGTATCCTACGATACGATTTGATATGGGTTATCAATGATATGTATCAGAGAGTATAACCTAAACCCTTCAATATGTTGATATATATTTTACGATACGATACGTATCCATTCATATTCTTAAAAATATCGATACAAATCGATATGACTTTATTAATTTGGGTCAAATACCCAAAAAAAAGTTCGGGTCGGATCTGGGTCACCTAACCCGGTTCACTAAAATCTGCCTAAATTTACTTATTTTGCATGGAGAAAGTGAAAAGGAAGATGTGTTGCCCATTTTATATGATAATAATAACACAAGTGGAGATATATATATTGAATGATTGAGAAGAAATGATATAGATTCTTAATTTTGTGATTAATTTTTATTATATAATACTATAATTTAAAGCTAATAATACCATAAAATTCGTTAATTAATCATGGAGATGATATTAATTTTTAGAAATTTTTAATATTTTATTAATTTTTTGAAAAATATGTATCTTACGATACGATACGCGATACATGATTCGAAAAATTAGGTTTTCGATACATGATACAATACACGATTTGATAACCATACTTATAAGTGACTGATAAGTAATTGATACGTATGATAGTACATTTTATTATTAAAATAACTAAAAAATATACTATAATAATATGATATGAGAATAAAGGTATATTATAGAATTTTAAAATTAAATAGGAATAATATGATAATATACTTGGTCAAACTAACATGGTTATAAGATTAAAAAAAAAAATATCTTCCCTCAACCCTTTTTTTTTTTTTTTTTTTTTGTTTGCTTATAAGTCCAACTTATAATCTCAAAATAGCTATAAACAAACATGTTAATTTAATTTTAGAGTTTATAAGCTAATTTGATCAGCTTATAAGGTCAAACAAATGCGGCCCTATTTTTATCAACTGATAGACAAATATTAAAATCAACCTTAATTGTTTTTTTTGGGTAAAATTATTGATTAGTCATGGGGTAAGTAAGGTTATCTTTTTAATTATTAAAGATTATTTCTTTCTTTGTAAAATTGACTGAGTTTTTCTGCTTCTGGAGGTCACAGTCAACAAATTGCATAGAATATAAAGTTGGTGTCGGAGGACTCGTATTATTCTTATAATAAATAATAAACTATTTGATTTATCCTGACAACCAAACAGATCCTAGTACTATTCACAAGATTTAAATTGTCTTAAGCTCTTTTTCCTTACTTTAATAAAATAGATATATAAGGGTTTTAGATTGACAGAAAAAGTGATCAAAATTTATTTCTTAGGAATTGATAAACCGGTGGGTAGAGTTGGAGGTAGTAATGTTCAGATGACGTATATTTTATTTTTAGTATGAAGGGACGGAGAGACTTGCTCCTCAANCTGATAGACAAATATTAAAATCAACCTTAAGTGTTTTTTTTGGGTAAAATTATTGATTAGTCATGGGGTAAGTAAGGTTATCTTTTTAATTATTAAAGATTATTTCTTTCTTTGTAAAATTGACTGAGTTTTTCTGCTTCTGGAGGTCACAGTCAACAAATTGCATAGAATATAAAGTTGGTGTCGGAGGACTCGTATTATTCTTATAATAAATAATAAACTATTTGATTTATCCTGACAACCAAACAGATCCTAGTACTATTCACAAGATTTAAGTTGTCTTAAGCTCTTTTTCCTTACTTTAATAAAATAGATACATAAGGGCTTTAGATTGACAGAAAAAGTGATCAAAATTTATTTCTTAGGAATTGATAAACCGGTGGGTAGAGTTGGAGGTAGTAATGTTCAGATGACGTATATTTTATTTTTAGTATGAAGGGACGGAGAGACTTGCTCCTAAAGCTTTCACCTAACCCACCGGAGAAATGGAATAATTTTACTTGACCAAATATAATGACATTACTAAGCTAGCTTTGCTCCCAAGGCATTCCTTTTTTCTTTTTTCCCCTTGTTTTACCTTGTCATGTCCAAGAGAAAATAAATATTTTATCCTCATTTAGTTTAAGGTGAATTCTTAGGATGTTTCTATAATGTGATTAGTTGGTCAACAACTTGAACTTTGACATCGGACGGTACACGCGCGGTAGGTCCCATCATCTTTGTCTTCACCGATACCATCTTCTAGAGTCTAGACCTTTCCCTTCTCTGCACTCACCCCTACACTAAACCCATTATCTTACTAAAATTTATGTAATCTATTTATACCTCTTCAAGATATTCATTATAAAAATTAAAATGTTTAAAACTAATTTTAATTTTCACTAAATAAATATCTAAGCAGTAGCATGGCTTTAGATTAAGATGAGTCATATGTAGAAATTTGAAGCGGTGGGAATGGCAAGTCAAGCGCAGCGTCGCAGCCAATCATCATAAGGCGTTGACTCTTTTAGCCTGTTAATAGTGTCTTTGAGGCCTTGGATACTTCCCAGAAACACCCCCACCATCTTTATGTATCAAAACACAACTTCCTCCTCCTCTTTGTTTCTTTCCTTATTTATTCAAACCTCAAATCTGTTCCCTTTCTTTCTTTCTGTTTTGCTTCCGCACCGCCCTCAACTTCAGTGACTTGCTGTTTCTTGGTGAGAACCTACCTTGATATCTTTCCAAGTTTACTTTCCACTTTAATATTTTCTTCTTTTGCTTTTACTTCTACCAGTTATTGTTATCTGGGTCTGCTTAGCTCTGGTTTTTCAAATATATCTCTACTTTGAACTTGATTTAGAGTTTAGGTTTCCAAAGTTTACCTTTTGATTTATTTCCATGGATCAAAATACTGCTGGATTCTCTGATATCATAAATGATTTTCAATTCAATGATGCATCCTTTGTATCTAATGTAAATCAATATCCAAATACTGAAAATGGATCCAAGTTCACTATTTCTTCGCCAGATCTCAACTTTTTGGACTACCCTTTTAGTTCCCCTGACCCTGATCCTGGTATATTCACACCATTGTCAACCTCCAGTCCAGAAATAGAGTCTCTTGTTGATTCTGGGAGTTTGATTCTAGATGGAAGCTCCTTTGTTCCCTCAACCGGCTGGAGTCCTGAGGGACAGGCTTCCTCTTCCTCGGATGATAGTGATTCTTCAGACCCGGTTCTCAAATACATAAGCCAAATGCTGATGGAAGAGGACATGGAAGATAAGCCATCTATGTTTTATAACCCTTTTGCTCTTCAAGCCGCCGAGCAATCACTGTACGATGTACTTGGTGAGCAGCAGCCACACTATCCTTCATCCTTTAATCAACCTCAACACCAGCTTTCTGTTGACCTCAATAACGATAGTTTAGCAAGCAACAGTACTCTTTCTAATAGTAGCAACGATGTTAATAGCAATACTGGTGTCTTAACTAGAACCGGTAGTGGTAGTAGTGATTTTGTTGATACTCTGTTGGTTGGCGATATTGGAGAGTATAATCCCTCTCAGTCACAAATCCCACCTTCTGGTGGTTACCATTTCCAATCCAATTCGGAGCAGCCCAATTTGCAGTTTTCAGTTAATCCACCAGAAAGCATGACTAATATCGGGCACGGGTTGATGACTTCTTCTGTGAATGAGCTTCTTGCTCAGAATATGTTTAGTGACACACAGTCTATACTGCAGTTTCAGAGGGGGTTGGAGGAAGCTAGTAAATTCCTTCCGACTGGTAATCAACTGATTATTGATTTGGAAAGCTATGGTTTCTCCAAGGGCCAAAAGGAAGAGACTGCCAAGGTTGTAGTCAAGGAGGAGAAGGATGGGAAAGAAAACTCGCCTGCTGGATCAAGGGGTAGAAAGAATCATGAGCGTGAGGATGCAGGCTTAGAAGAAGAGAGGCAAAATAAGCAATCGGCTGTCTCTGTGGAAGAGGCTGGATTATCTGAGGCTGGATTATCTGAGATGTTCGACAAGGTGTTGCTTCTTGGATGTTTAAAATGTGAGCCTATATTGTGCACCGATGAGGCTCAGGTTCAAACTGTGCATACTGGATCAAGCAACAGCTTGCAGCAGAATGAACAATCCAATGGATCTAATGGCGGGAAATCTCGTGCAAGGAAGGGAAGGAAGAAGGATACAGTGGATTTGAGGACTCTCTTGATTATCTGCGCTCAAGCTGTTGCCACCAATGATTTCAGAACTGCTAATGAGCTACTGAAGCAGATTAGGCAGCACTCTTCACCAACTGGTGATGGGTCTCAGAGGATGGCCCATTACTTTGCAAAAGGCCTTGAAGCGCGTTTGGCTGGCAGTGGAACAGGACATAAAAATTTCTTTACTTGCTTCGCTCCCATGAAAACAGCTGCCACTATATTGAAAGCTTATAAAGTTTATCTTAATGCCTGTCCATTTAAGAAGTTTGCTATTTTCTTTGCAAACCAAATGATTATGAATGTAGCTGAGAAAGCAACAACTCTTCACATTGTAGATTTTGGTATTGTATACGGTTTTCAATGGCCAATTCTCATTCAACTTCTCTCAGAGAGATCTGGTGGCCACCCTCCCAAGTTACGCATAACCGGGATAGAGCTTCCCCAACCTGGTTTCAAACCAGCAGAAAGAATTGAGGAGACAGGTCGTCGCTTGGCAAGGTATTGTGAGCGCTTTAATGTTCCATTTGAGTACAATGGCATAGCATCACAGCACTGGGAAACTGTCAAATTTGAGGACCTCAAGATTAAATCCGATGAGGTGGTTGCTGTGAATTGTCTGTACCGGTTTAAGTACCTGCTTGATGAAACCGTTGAAGTTAACTGTCCAAGGGATGCTGTCTTGAACTTAATCAGGAAGATAAATCCAGCTATTTTTGTCAATTCTGTCGCTAATGGATCGTATAATGCTCCCTTCTTCGTCACACGTTTTCGGGAAGCAATCTTCCACTTCTCCTCATTGTTTGATATGTTTGATTCTACTATGGCCCGTGAAAGTCAAGAGAGATTGTTATTGGAGGAAGAGTTTTATTCACGAGATGCAATAAATGCCATAGCTTGTGAGGGGTTGGAGAGGATTGAGAGGCCTGAGTCATACAAGCAGTGGCATACACGAACCATGAGGGCTGGGTTCAAGCCATTGCCAGTGGACCTGAAGCTGATGGCGAAACTTCGGATTAAGTTGAAGCATTTGTACCACAAGGACTTTGTAATTGATGAAGATGGCAACTGGATGCTGCAGGGATGGAAGGGAAGGATTATCTATGCTTCTGGCAGTTGGGTACCAGCATAGGGTACTGATCAGCACATATCTTAGAAGGAAGAATTGAGAACTATAAGATTCTTCCAGGAGAACTTTGAAAATAAATGAAGGTATTATTCCTAACAAATTTCAGTTTGCTCTCCCTCACTTTAAGTGCACATACGCATATGTGAATCTACTGTTGCTATAATAGTATATTAAGACTATAAGCTTTATTCTGTATGGAAATCTAGAACGAAGCTAACTTTTTTCCATAACATTTTTTCAGGTTACCTAAAGTTGTCCACTTGTCCTTCCTTCTTGCAGAAGAACCCTATCGGCCACTATGTGTGATTAACATATGGTTAAAGGCTGTTGACTAAGCTATGAAGTAGTCTAATGTTATGTATAATACGATTATGGACATTAAACCCTATGATAGAGTAAGGGTTGGAACGTTCTCCAATTCTTATGTTGTGGAGGCTGCTGCCTTGCTTGTCAAAATATTAGTGTAATGAACAGAGGTATTTTTTTCTTGATTGTCAGCCTTGGTTCCGCTGGTAACCAGGGGAGTCTAGATCTTAGCTTTTTGTCTGTATATATTTCCCAGGTTGTGTTTTGGCTCTGTTTACTGCATTAATAAAGTGATTTTTTGGAGTTCATTGTTCTCTTACCCTTCTTTTTTATGTTGATCGTTTCCTTGTGTGAAGTATTAGATGCTGTCTCATATGCTGGTGAATTGTTATTTAGATTCTCTATAATTTTTTTTGGTAAGTAAATTGTATTCGAAAAGGTGTTTATTTAGATTCTCTATAATTTATGATCCAAGTAATAATGGTTTTTAGTTCTCATATGTCAATAGTGGATGTATAAAAGGTTAGGCATTCTTACTTTCAAAAATCAATAAAGGAATAACAGATCAATAATATGAGAACTTTAAGGTCTGAGTGATGGTGCAAATTAAGTCCACTTCCTCTCTCTTATATATATATATATAAAAGTAAAATTTGAATGGTGGCAGGCAAGGACTCCTTGTCAATTCTAATCTCAAACACGTTGCTTCGCCCAGATGAAACGCAAACACGTTCTAAAGAAAAATGATGGAGGTGAGGTGAATCTGGTCCATTCTGGACATATCTCTTTTAGATTGTTTATCGAAAAGTTGAACACTTAAGAGTTGATTGGAAGAGCAAGTGCCCTTTCAAAAGCGGAGCATTTGAAAACTGCTTTAAAAGACAAAAATAATTTTCGACCATTTTTCTTGTTCGGCGGCTGTGTATATAAAATGTGGTATGTATCTTATTTGTATTTTGTTTTCATGAACATATACAACTCACTGTTTCACACACAGTTGTAACTGAGACGTGGCAGCCCGTATGTCAATCAAAAAGTCAAAAAGTGTAATATATTTCCCCCTTGACTCCAGCAGCCTCAAGACAAGAACCAGTCAAAGTGGTTGAGGTTCCCAATGAATACAATAACATTAGCATTCAACATATAATTAATATTCTAAAGTTATGTAACATAAATAATGAAATAATTAACTTGGAGTACAAACTTACATTTCTTGCATAATCAATTCCTAGTTTCTTGAGTAAATAAAAGAGAGATATGGCATTGGGGGTCAACATTACTTTACACCATCTCGTTCAAATAAAAACTTTTAATTTATAAGCAAGAATCCAACACCAGATATTGTTGAACACCCAGCGAAAGAAGGAAGAAAGAGCACAAGTTATTTGCGACAGTCAAAGGGACTGAGAATAGAGATGAAATGAATCTCATTATATTGTAGTTTAAGATAGTCAAAGTAAAAGATCCATTTCAAATGAAGATGAAATGAATCTAGTCATTTACAAAAACCTCCTGCAGCCTGCTGGCCTGGATATATATATATATATATATATATATATATTCTAATTATAATGGGTCCATTATGTTTGGTAAGCATTGTTTTGTTCTTTATTGCTTTATAATTAACTTTATATCATACATACCAAGGAGCTAAACTATAGTTTGTTTTAATTTACTATGGTCCAATGTTTTATATTTGTTTAGTTTTCAACTTTTGAACCAGTACATGCAGATGGTAATTGCTAACCATATAATAGAATAAATGATATACAGTCACGGAGAAGTAGTCAAAACACGTGTATATATAATATTCTCATACAAAACTTTTAATATATTAATTGATGTAATCTTATGTTTGATTGATTGGGATAAACAATTTATATTATTAGTATGATTATGAAACAGAAAGAAATATTAATACATAAATATTTATATGAATGTGACATAAATATAAATATATATATGATAAAAGGAGAAAATCTGTAAATCAAGTTACTTAGATACCTTAAAGTGGAAGCAAGCAAAAGCCAAGAGGTTTCCTAGAAGAAGATCATTTCAAATTTGAAGAATGGTGGTTTGTTTGGGGTGCATTAATTGTGTAAACTCTTTTTTAGATTTTATATTATATATCATACATGGATGATTAGAAAGGTTTGATGAGAATAGTAGTCAATTTGTTACATTATTTGAAACACTATTCTATTTTGAATAGAATATGATAAGATTAAATCAAATAGGATAGGGTTCTGAGAATGTGTTTAGTATATTTTTTTAAAACATATTCTGAAAATATTTAGATTATTTTTTTAACCACCTATATTTTTTAATTTAGCTAAACACCTTTCACAATAAAAGTTTATAAATTAACAAAAACACTTCCATCCACCTAACCGATAGCTAACAACCGACCACCACTGTCGAAAGGTGGTTGTTAGTCAATGAAATGACGTACGATTGACTGGATCTGGTCAATCATGCACCGATCTGACCTTTTTTAATCAGATTCATCATGTATCTGACTATTTTCAGCCATATCGACATACAATCAGTCAGTTCAGTTGATCGTGTATCGATTCGACGTTGACGATGGTAGTGGCAATGACTAGCATTTGGTGGTGGTTGCTAGTGTGCTATCGTGGCTTGGGTGAATAGAGGTATTTTTATTAATTTATAAACTTTTATTGTGAAAAATAATTACAGTTAAATAGAATATGGTTGGATTTTGAATGGAATAGTCCGTATTAAAACAAACATGTTTTTTTACTGTATCTTTATGTTGCATTTCATTCACATTCACATCACATGTAGATGATGATGTTGGTCAAATTCCTTGTGGATCAAGCTTTGTGTTTGCCTTAAAAGTCAACCTTATCTTAGATTTCCTCTCCTCCTGAGTCCTTACTAGCAACATAAAAGGATTACCCATTTTGTGTCTTAAAACGCAAATGACATGGCGGCTGCTCTTGTCTCACTAGATACAGTATTTTCCCGGAAGGTTCAATAAATTTTAAAATTAAAACTGCATCAATTGCCTCCTTTTTATATTCTAGGAGCCAACGCCACTTACTAGTATCCATTACCATTATTTCTCTTTTCTCTTTAATATGCCAAGCTTTTTTTGAGGTAAAGGTACTCTTGAATCTTCTTCAACTGTTCACTTTTTTCTTCTCAATCTGTTAATTATTTATTTGTTCCTTGTTTTTCAGTTTCAGAATTTGCATCTTTTTTTTTCCTGACAAGTTTGAATATTAAATTTCTATTCTAGTCTTTTGATTAAGTTCATTTCTTCATCCCCAAAATCTAGCCAGAAGTTTCAGATTTTAATTTCATTTTTAACTCAAGATTTTTTCAGTGACCAGAAAGGAGTCTATGGATACCCTTTTTGAAGGATTTCCTGCTTCCATGAATGAAATGAAATTTGATCACCATGGCTCAGTTTCATCTTATTCAAATCAGAATCTGGTTAATGGATTTAAACTCAATCATGACTCAATAGATCATCATCCACCAATTCTTCACACCAATCCACCAAGTGATTCTTTTCCATCTTGGGACTCGGGCTCAGATGGAGATTCTCCGGACAGCTCTGACCACTCTACTGCTGTTCTCAAGTACATTAGTGAAATCCTTATGGAAGAAGATTTGGAGGGAAAACCCTGCATGTTGCAGGACTGTCTGGCCCTCCAAGCTGAAGAAAAATCCTTCTATGATGTCCTTGGCCAGAAATACCCCCCTTCACCTAATCATGTCCTTCCTTCTCTCAGAAAATACCTTGAGAACCCAGATGATAAATTCCCCAGGAGTTCTAGCAGTACCGATAGCTGTGACAGCTATTATTCTTCTACCAATTTGATTGATTCTCCAGAAAGTACCTTTCTGGTGCCAAATATGTTCAGTGAGATGCAGATGCAGTCCTCCAATCAATTCAGTGGAGAAGTAGGGGAAGCTAGCAACTTTATTTTAAATCTGGACAGTGTTGTTTTTGCGCCGAAGAGCAGCCCGCCACTGCATCGAGAACAGGTTTTGGCGAGCTCAGTTAGGGATGGGAGGCAGCATTCATCTACCGGATCAAGGGGAAGGAAAATTGACCAGCGCGAGGGTAGTGATGAGCTTGAAGAAGGGAGGAATAACAAGCATTCAGCTCTTTCTCTTACAGAGTTTGAGCAATCAGAGATGGATGAAATATTGCTGATGTGCAAGTCTGGGAACAATGAGTCTCCGTCATGTTCTCCAGGGCCAAACGGATCAAACAGGAAACCACAACAGAATGGACAATTAAAAGGGTCTAATGGTAGAGCAACACGTACAAAGAAAAAAGTTTATAAAGGAGAGGTAGTAGATTTGTGGTCTCTGCTAACTCAATGTGCACAAGCTGTGGCTAGTAATGACCAAAGGTCTGCAAATGAGCTACTGAAGCAGATTAGGCAGCACTCTTCTGCTTTTGGTGATGGAAACCAAAGATTGGCTCATTACTTTGCTAATGGCCTTGAGGCACGTCTTGTTGGCACTCAGACACCAATATATTCGCATATAAGTAATAGAGCATCCGCAGCTGATATCCTGAAGGCTTACCGGGTTCATGTTACTTCCTGCCCCTTCACCAGGATGTCATTTTATATGGCAAACAGAACGATTGCAAAACTAGTTGAGAAAGCAACAAGGCTTCACATTATTGACTTTGGCATTTGCTATGGTTTTCAGTGGCCGTGCTTGATTCAGCTTCTTTCAGAAAGGAGTGATGGACCTCCCATGCTTCGCATCACAGGCATTGAGCTTCCCCAACCAGGTTTCCGGCCAGCAGAAAGAGTTGAAGAGACAGGGCGTCGCTTAACAAGTTACTGTGAAAGATTTAATGTCCCATTTAAGTACCATGTCATAGCAAAGAAATGGGAAACCATCAAATTAGAAGATCTTAAGATTGACAGAGATGAGGTAACAGTGGTTAACTGTTTGTATCGAATGAAAAACCTCCCAGATGACACAATGATAGATAGCAGCCCAAGGGATACCGTCTTACAATTGATCAAGAATATTAATCCAGATTTATTCATCCATGGGACTGTTAATGGCGCTCACAACGCACCTTTCTTTCTCACACGATTCCGGGAGGCATTATTCCACTTCTCTGCATTGTTTGATATGTATAATGTTAATGTAGCGACAGAAGATGAGGGGAGGATGCTGTTTGAAAGAGAAGTATTTGGAATGGATGCTGTGAATACCATTGCATGTGAAGGTATAGAGCGAGTGGAAAGGCCAGAGACGTATAAGCAGTGGCAGGTGAGATCTCAGAGGGCTGGGTTCAGGAAACTGCCATTGGACCAGAAAATTTTTGAAACAGTGAGGAATAAAGTGAAATCAAAATATCATCAGGATTTTATTGTTGACGAGGATGCCAATTGGATGCTGCAGGGATGGAAAGGAAGAGTAATCCATGCTCTTTCTTTCTGGAAACTTGTTCAAGACTAGGAGTGGCTCATAAGGTGTAGCAAGTTTTCTTTCTTTTTTTTTGTTTTTTGCTACTAGTTATTGTACAGCCATATGGCTTAATAGTGGCAACAATATGTAGTCTGCTGATCAGCTGTTGTTATTATGTAATATGGGAAATTTCAGTGCTTTTAGTTTGCGATTTGTTGAGTTAACAAACATTTTTTCAGAAGTAACTGGATTAATAGGAAGCGACGCCTGTAATTGAGCCGACTACATTGGTTAATAGTAGCAAAAATTATAAAGAGCCAACAACATGGCTTAATAGTAGCAACAATCGCAAAACGCTTTATCTAAAACATATTTTCTTAGTTTAGTGGACTCGAACGTTATAAATTAAATCCTAGAACTCATTCGTTAAGCGATGTAGGAGGTGACACTATGTTATTGTGTTTATATTCTTCAGTCTTAAGTGATCTTACTGCAACAGGCATGAGCCTTCTTTTGTTAATAGCATAAGTTATAATCTTGGAAGCAGTTCACTTTCCATTTTGATTTTTGAGGGTGTTGTGAAATATATAACATATCAAGACTATAAATAGGTGAAATAAACTACAAATCATATAAGATTTAATAATTTAACAAGTTTCGTAAAGTCTGCGTCTATGGAGAAGAGAAAAATTATACCCACAACCACATGAGCAATTATGTAAGACTAGATCTACTAAAACCTTACAACACATTATAAGATTATGATCAGTATGACTGATTCTATGACATGTGAAGGATTGAAAGATGGAGTAGGCAGTATGTCACCAACACAAAGCAGTGGGTGGAGCTGGATATTCTGCAAGCAGGTGTAGCGACAAGCAGTTACTTCTATTTGAGTTGGTGATGTATTGTCATTATATATTAGTTTAAAGGTCTAAGATAGTGCAAGGAAAAGTTCAGTTTGGGGTGCAATGAATCTGTACATGATGACAATTGCAATCACCAAGGCTTTTCAGTTTTTTATTAGCAAGCTATTAATGGTATTATAATTTAATTTAAATATGAGTGCGTCCCTTTGATTGGTGGAGCTGCATCAGCTAATTAAGCTACGTTCTGAGTCAAAAGCATAATCTTTTGGGATCATATTCTTTGTTGGTGGCTTTAAACAAACATTATTTTCAATTGATACAATCCAAATCCAATTTTCAGTGCAGTTGTGGGGTCTTCATTCTAAGTTAAGATAAGGGGGATTGGAGCTTTTCTGGTTCCTGTTCACTGGAGGATCTGTTGAGGAGAGAAAGACGTTGGCAAGGAATTGCTAATATGTTAGGTTGCAGTCAAGGACAGAGACATTGCAGGATTATTTAAATAATAAGAGGAGAAAAATAATTGTCGGTATGCCAATAACTCTGTTAGAATTACCTAGAATAACATTCATCAATCATCTTATATATGAAGACAAAGTCAATACTGCAACAGTTAACTATTAGTATTATTTGGAAGGAAAACAAAACATTTATCTTTGTTCATCAAATAAATTCCTATTTCTCTCCATATTTTTTATTTGATTTAGCATAAGTAGTAGTCAATTCAGTTGGATAGATTTTTTGGAAGAAATTTTTACATTAAATTACACTCATACTAATTAAGTTATTTGGAGTTTGGTTTTAATTTGTATATTAATATTACATCATCTATAAATAAGTACATGCTAAATTATAATTAATTTGACTGCAAATAATATGTTACATTCGATGTATTATTGACTCTCTCGTTCTTGGAAGCCTACATGTCAACAATTGCTTTTACATCATCAAGAATTGTCAGCCATATCTTCAAATTCAAAGTCAAACATTTTCCAACGATTTTAAATGGATGAATTCTTTCTCATTAAAACAGCCAGCCTTTTCCTTTATCAGCAGAAGCATATCTCCATTCTAATTACCATATCTATATACTTACACTTGAATTCTCTCTTATCTTCAACCCAATGCTAAGCTTTCCTTAAGGTACTCATCCTTTCTTTATCTGTTCCTCTTCCTTCTAGCTTGTTTTTACTGCTTTCAGGCTTCAGTTTTAGCTCATTAATCCTGTTTATTTTCGGTTCTTTTAATACTAGTCTTGTAATTTTGGAGAATTAATTCAATAGAACTTTGTAGAAATGTTTGGCCTTCCGTCTCTTTATCTTTGATTTGCATCATAATCTTGAAAATCAACATTGATTCAATTCTCCTGCATAGTGTATGGATACACTTCTTGAAGGATATTCTAGTTCAATGAATCATTTGCAAGTTGACCGTGGCTTAGTTGATCAATTTGAACTCAACCCTGACCTCATAGATCCTCTTGATCCATCTTTCCTTCCAACCTATCCAACCCCTCTTAGTGATTTTTCTCCATCTTCTAGTATTGACAAATATGGAGATCCTGCAGACATCAGTGAACCCTTTCATGCAACTCTCAGGTATATAAATTATATGCTCATGGAAAAAGACCTGGAGGACAAGACATGCATGTTACAGGATTCTTTGGCTCTTCAAGCTGCTGAAAAATCCTTTTATGATGTCCTTGGCCAGAAATACCCCCATTCAACAAATCATTATCCTTCATGTTATAACTCAGAGAACCCGGATAATTATTGCAATACTAGTAGCAGCGCTGATAACAGTAACAGCAGTACTACTGCTAACAACTTAGTTCATCTCAACTGTACACGTAATCAATTCTCTCTTATTGACTCTCCTGAAAGTACCTTTCTGGTACCCAATTTATGTAGTGAGATACACCATTTTGGACTTTTCAGTCGAGGCAAAGTTAGTAATTCCCTTTCTAATGATGATACTGTCGTCCCAAACACTGGCTTATTATATTCTGGAGAAGAGGTGGTAGCTAGCATAGCAAAGGACATAACACACAGTTCGAACCATTATCAGCTAGAGGGTTGTAATTATCTTGAAGAAGGGAGAAGAAACAAGCATTTTGCGCATTCTCTTTCTGAACATGAACCACTGGAGGTGTTTGACGAAGTATTGCTTTGTAAATGTGAGAATAAGTCGGTACCATGTTTAATTCACGGATTGTGGCAAGATGGATCAAGAGAAAAGGTGCAGCAGATTGGCCAGTCGAAAGGGTCTAATAGCGGAACAACACGCACGAAGAAGAAAGGAAAAAAGAGAGAAGTAGTGGATCTGTGGACTCTTTTAACCACGTGTGCACAAGCTGTGGCTAGCTATGATCAAAGGACTGCAACTCAGCTCCTAAAGCAGATTAGGCAGCATTCTTCACCTTTTGGCGATGGAACTCAAAGATTGGCCTATTACTTCGCTAAGGGTCTTGAGGCACGCCTGGCTGGCGCCCAGACACCGATCTCTATACATCTATATAGTAGGGCATCGGCTGCTGATATGATACAAGCTTACAAGGTATATGTTACATCATGCCCCTTCGATAGGATTTCATTTTTTATGGCAAACCGGACGATTTTGAAACTTTCAGAAAAAGCAACAAGGCTTCACATTATTGATTTTGGCATTGGCTATGGTTTTCAGTGGCCTTGCCTTATTCAGCGTGCTTCCAAAAGGCCAGGTGGTCCTCCCAGGATCCGCATTACAGGTATTGATTTCCCTCAACCAGGTTTCCGGCCCGCAGAAAGAGTTGAAGAGACAGGGCAGAGATTAAAATCTTACTGTGAGAGGTTTAATGTCCCATTTGAATACAATGCAATAGCAGAGAAATGGCAGAATATTCAATTCGAGGATCTCAAGATTGACACAGAAGAGATAACAGTTGTTAATTCTACGTACCGGATGAAACATCTGCCGGATGACACAGTGCTCATTAAGAGCCCAAGAGATGCTGTTTTAGAATTGATAAAGAAAATTAATCCAAACATATTCATCCATGGGGTTGTTAATGGCACCCACGATGCCCCATTCTTTCTTGCACGTTTCCGTGAGGCACTATTCCATTTTTCTACTCTGTTTGATATGTTTGAGGCTAATGTGCCTCGCGAAGATCAGGGGAGGATGCTGTTCGAGAGAGAAATATATGGAAAAGATTCGATGAATGTGATTGCTTGTGAGGGTATAGAGAGGGATGAAAGGCCAGAGGCGTATAAGCATTGGCAGTCAAGGAATTTGAGAATTGGGTTCGAGCAGCTGGCACTAGATAAAGATATTTTGAAGAGCGTGAAGACTTTAGGAAAGTTGAATTATCATAAGGACTTTGTTATTGATGAAGTCGGTCAGTGGATGCTGCAGGGATGGAAGGGGAGAATAACCCATGCCCTTTCTTTCTGGAGACCCGTCCAGGATTGATAAAGCCGGTGGATCATGAGATCCTGTGAATTGTATTTCTCTAATTTTTTATACTTTAGCCATATGGTTTGTTCTACTGATGTAAGAGAAAAATGCTTTAACACCAGGTTATCAATGGTATTGTGATGATAAACAAAATTGTTCCTCTTCTTAAATCAGTAACATCAGGTTTCGAGTAATTGTCTAGCAAAAGAAAAAAGTGTAAATTATTAAGGGATTCTTATTAAAAATTAGTTTAAAGGTCTAAGATAATGCAAGCAGAAGTTTCTGTTTCGGCTGCAGCTGCAATCACGGTGGACAGATTCCCTTTTGACTGCTCGTACAACATCAGCTAAGCTACTCAGTAAAAGGCATAATCTTTTGGGATTATTTCTTTGCTTGGAGGCTATAAACAAACATTATACAATCAGTTGCATCCGTGAAACAGGTGGTGTATTATGGAGTCTTTGCTTCATTTTCTTTGAATAAATTTACTAAAGGAGAATGTTGAGGCTCTTTACCTCTTTTGGTTTCCTTGTGATTAAGAATATAATTCTTACAGGGATTAGGAAGGTAGTTCCTAATAGGAACTGTGTATCTCCATTAGCCTACTGATATAGGATGATGAGAATTAATTAGCTTATAATAGATAGAACTATGTTTGTCGACATGAGGGGGAGATACTAAATACTATTTGTTTGGGGCTTTGGTAGGTATTAATTATATTATCTCACCTAGTAATGTATTTGGGTATTTCACATATTGTTAATCTTGGGTCCGTTTGATATGCTTCCGCAAATTCATGACAGAGAATATGAGGTATCTATGAAAGATGTGAGATTGTTGAATTTTGAACTACTAATGCAGTTTTATTTCTATATACAATATGAGCTTGCTGAAAGTTTCCTGGAAGGAGATAGTTGAAGTTGAAAACTTTTTGCCTAATAATTTAGAATCACGAGAAATCACCTTTGTTTTTATAACAGGGATCTACTGAAGATATTTACAAGGTAACACGGATTCATACTTTTTCTGGGTAATGATCATTCAAGAAAGGCAGAGACTAAGAGACAGATGTAGGGAATAGATTGGCAGATTCAGATAGTGGGAATTAAAGCAGTCATATATTGGAGCATCTAATTCAAATAATAGGAGGAAAAAACAAAACACCCAACAACTTTCTAGATTCATACTTTCTAGTATGAGCCTACCATCAATACTTTTGTATGACACAGGTTTTAGCCTATTAAACCACATAAAGAATCATACCACTCGAATTCGTTATCTTTTGTTGGTGTATTAATATAGGAAAATTAATTAAAGTCTGAATTTTATTGGGAATAATATATATATATATAATCTTTAGGTTATTTAAAAAATTTTATATTTGAGTTCCTTCTTAACTAATAATAGAGGTATCATTAGAGTTTTTATTTGATTAATAATTTTAAGATCTCGAAAAATTAATTTTAATAATTTTAGGCTCTCGAAAGATTAATTTTGATCGATAATTTTAAGATTTTAACAAATTAATTAAGGTATATATAAATTGGTTTAAAAATCATTCAATTTTATATATATATAAAAATAAAAAAACCTTAAAGGTTACTACCTCAAGATTAGTTGAATCTTGCGGCGTTGAGTCTTTGTCGGGGACAAACACATCCCACCACTCTACTCGTAATGCAAGAAAATTGGGTTCACAGCTGGCATGGCCTACATGTAGTCAATTGCTTTTACATGAAGACAAGCTATTTGTCATATTTGTCTTAAAAGTCAAAGTAATATCAGATTAATAGTATTAGTGATTACTGGTAAGACTTACCGATGCTGCAGGAAATAAAACACTAATAAATATGTTATATAAAGTGAGACGATAACTAATAATAAAAAACTAAATTTAATAAATTTAATTTTTTGTTTTATTCTTTTATTTATTTTTTATTTTATTTTATATAAAAATATTTATAAAATTTCTTCATAAAAATCTTATAATGAATATAATACATTTGATTTTTTTTTTTTATCATCTTATTTTATATAAAAATATTTATAAGATTTATTAGGAAGAATAATACGAAAATCTGGCTAAAATTTAGAACAGTATTATGATACTGGTCAATATATGCCATGGCGGCCATTTTTGTCTCATTTAACCGACCCTTTTATTACTTAGCATATCCCTTCTCACCAGGTGTGTTTAGCTACATGTCATTCTCTCTTATCTAGAACCCAAAGCTAAGGTACTCTCCCTCCTTTAATTGTTCTTTTTTTTTTCATGATATGAATCTCTCTATTCTGTATTCTTGCAGTACTATTTCAGCTGATTTTTCAGTTGTTTAGTCATTTATCCATCTTTTTTTTTTTTTTTTTTTTTAAAATTCTTGGCAAGTAGAATATTTATTGTCTATTCAATCGGGACTTGTGCAAAGATTTGGTTTTCTTTTGTGAATCTTTGATTCTTTTTAGTTAAGCAAGGCAGCAGAACCATAAGTTCATAATTTTCATGTTCTTTCCCTCAAAATCCTCTCTTGATCATCAAATTGGTTCTTTATGAATACACTGCTCCAAGGATTTTCTAGTTCCATGAATCATTTGCAACTTGACCCTGGTTTAGTTTCAGTCTATTCAAATCAGAATCACGGCCTTAAAGATCTTTCAGACCCTCTTAGTGATATAATTTCACCTTCTAGTATGGGCTCAATTGGGGATTCTCCAGACACCAGTGAGCTCTCTCAAACAACTCTCAAGTATATAAGCGAGATGCTTATGGAAGAAGATCTGGGAGATAAGACGTGCATGTTGCAGGACTGTATGGCCCTCCAAGCTGCCGAAAAATCCTTCTATGATGTTCTTGGCCAGAAATACCCCCCTTCACCAAATCAATTCTCTTCATCTTTCAATCAAAACTCACAGAGCCCAGATGATTATTGCACCACTAGTAGCGGTGCTGATAGCAGTAATGACAGTACTGTTACCAACAACTTGGTTCAGCCCAATTGGATAAGTAATCAGTCCTCTCTTATTAAGTCTACTCAAAGTACCTTTCTTTTACCAAATTTATATAGTGAGATACAGCCTGTTGGTCTTTTCAGTGAATTACGGGAAGTTAGTAATTCCCTTCCTAACGATGATACTGTCACTTCCAAGATTAGCCGCCTATCAAAATCTAGAGAAGATGTAGTAGCCAGCGTAGCAGAGGACGGGAAACACAGTTCACCAGATGCGTCAAGGGGAAGGAAAGGTTATCAGCTAGAGGATGGTAATTATCTTGAAGAAGGAAGGAGCAAGAAGCATTTGGCGCTTTCAGTTTCTGAATATGAGCCATCGGAGGAGTTTGATGAAGTGTTGTTATGTAAATGTGAAAATAATAGTTCTGCATCATGTTTGTTTCACGGATTGGGGAAAAATGGAATAGGTGGAAAGATGCAGCAGACTGGGCAGCCAAAAGGGTCTAATGGTGGAACAACACGCACAAAGAAAAAGGGAAAAATGAGGGAAGTGGTGGATTTATGGACTCTATTAACTCTTTGTGCACAAGCTGTCGCTAGCTATGACCAAACTACTGCAACTGACCTCTTAACGCAGATTAGGCAGCATTCTTCTTCTTCTGGTGATGGAACTCAAAGATTGGCCCATTACTTTGCTAATGGTCTTGAGGCCCGTCTGGCTGGCACCCAGAAACCGATTTCTACACATCTCAATAGTAGGGCGTCGGCTGCTGATGTTTTACAAGCTTACAGGGCATATATTTCATCGTGCCCCTTCAATAGGATGTCCTTTTACATGGCAAACCGAACGATAATTAAAGTATCAGAAAAGGCAACAAGGATTCACATAATTGATTTTGGCATTGGCTATGGTTTTCAGTGGCCTTGCCTTCTTCAGAATCTTTCAAAAAGGTCGGGTGGTCCTCCCAAGATCCGCATGACAGGCATTGAATTTCCTCAGCCAGGGTTCCGACCTGCAGAAAGGGTTGAAGAGACTGGGCGACGATTAAAATCTTACTGCGAGAGGTTTAATGTCTCGTTTGAATACACTTCTATAGCAGAGAAGTGGCAGAATATCCAATTAGAGGATCTCAAGATTGACAGAGAAGAGATGACAATTGTTAATTCTATGTACAGGATGAAACACCTGCCCGATGACACAGTGGTCATTAGTAGCCCAAGAGATACTGTTTTAGAATTGATCAAGAAAATTAATCCTGACATATTCATCCAAGGAGTTGTTAATGGTACCCACAATGCACCTTTCTTTCTCCCACGCTTCCGTGAGGCACTATTCCATTTTTCTGCATTGTTTGATATGTTTGAGGCTAATTTACCTCGTGAAGATCAGGGGAGGATGCTATTTGAGAGAGAAATATATGGCAAAGATTCGATGAATGTTATTGCATGTGAGGGTATGGAGAGGGTTGATAGGCCAGAGACTTATAAGCAATGGCAGGCAAGGAATCTGAGAATTGGGTTCAGGCAACTCGCGCTGGATAAGGATTTGTTGAAGAATGTGAGGTCTTTGGTGAAATCCAACTTTCATCCAGATTTTGTTCTCGATGAAGTCAGCAATTGGATGCTGCAGGGATGGAAGGGGAGATTAATTTATGCTCTTTCTTTCTGGAAACCTGTCCAGCCTTGATTAAAACCAGACCTATGAATACTTCTAGCTGGTGCATCATGAGATTCTGTGAAGTACTTTTCTTTAGTATTTTGTTCTGTAGCCATATGCTGATGTAAGAGAAAAATTAAATGCTATATAGTCAATTTTCTATGCTGTTGTGATGATTGAAGTATATAAAATTCCTACACTAGTTTGCTTAGATCTAAATTGGATCATAGAGAGCAGATGAATGGAAAAGAAAGTCTAGGGAGAATTTTAGATGGGAGTGTAGAGAATTAAGAAAGCTGCTAAAGAAAATTACACTAGTGTATAGAGGGAGTGAAGTCTGTTGGCTGGTAAGGCAATTGGCATGTAAATGATGAATTTTTATTTATTTTTTTTCTTGGTTGTAGCTCAAAATCAGATTCCTTCAATTCTTTTTAACATGCCTTATGTGGATATAAGTTAAGCTAGAATTCAAGTGTAGGTGTGAAATATTGGGGTAATACTTGGAAGGTTGCTTTTCATTTTGAATGCGCAAGCCTAGAGACATTCAAGCAGACAGTTTCATAACCGAAGGCATGGCCTTAGAGAATTCAAATACAACCTAAAAAAATCTTCAAAAATAAATGGCAACACCAAGAAATTATCGCTATTCGCTCACTATTCTACCAAGCACGCTAATTTGGTAGTATTTTGATTATAATGATATCCTGGTTTAATAATAAGCACACTCAACAGGAAAGAAAGAGAGACAGCACCTGTACTCATTCTCCAGTCAGAGTATTCACTGTATAATCACCTATATTTTAGCATGAACTTTATGGTATTTTACATTTGATTTGCAATTCCAATTAAAAGAGGTACAAATTATGAACTCAATTGAAAAAAAAAAAAAGATTCATACAAATTTAGGTCGGTGTGTGCTACAGCTTAGCATAATTTTTGGCATAGGTATTGGCTTAAAGGCTCTCCTATTTTTGAACCTACTAAAATTAGAGAGTGACGAGTTTCCAATTTACCATATATGATTACTTTCCACTTCTCAAATGTATCATACATCTTAATTAAACAACAGGTTATTGATAGATTATTCAAAAAAGTCTACGGGATTTCTTGTAATAAGCCAATGAAGTCCAGAACTCGTCTCTAAAAGCAAATATGTACAAGAATGGATCTTTTACCCTGTTTAATCTTCAAGTTGAGGAATTTGCTACATGATGAAAAGATAAGACGTCTGACTTGTGTAAATAGAATGTATCAAAATAGAATACCGTTTAATTACTTCATAAAACTTTGAACCCAAGTACGTGGTTGACAAGTAAAGAACATTATTTACAGAAATCTGATGATTCACTTCTCAACAACTTTATAATGTGGTCAATTGCTTGTTCATCAAGACGCATAGTATGTCTCCTCATTGGCTTAGAGACAACCAAAGTGGCCTAACACTAATCATTCAAACTGGTGAAGATTAAATGGCGGCTGTTTCTGTGTCACAGAATTGACTTTTCCTGGCCTTATTACCACTTTAGCTGAATCTGTGTATGGGCATACTCAGGGTTCTAATATTCCAGAATCAATAAGGTTTCTTAGAGGCTACTCTTGATTGTCTTGCCTTTCATCTGGTCTTATCACTTTCACTTCATAATTTCATTCTTTTCTGTGTTCTTTTGGTATTGTTTAGTTATATCCAGTCCTGTTGGTGGGTCTCTTATAATCAAGATTCAAGGCTTCATTTTTTTCATGCAACCAACCGTATTCTGCCGTAAGTTTCTGTTGAATAACCAAATAGAGGAATACACTTATTGAAGATCAGACTTCTATTCAGTTCTTTTCACATAGGTGTTTATGGATAGCTTTCTCCAAGAATTACATGGTTCTATGTACGGATTTAAATTTGACAATGGTTCAATTTCATCGGTCTTTCAAAATCTGAATCTTGAAAGTGGTGACTCCACATATCCTCATCCACCTTTTATTCCGACCAGTTCACAGCTTCCTATTGATTCAGCTCCATTTTCAGACGCAAACCCTAACAGAGATTCTCCATATAATGCATGCGATGACGATGACTCTGCTAATTCTGTTCTCAAGTACATAAGTGAGATGCTTATGGGAGAAGAATTAGAAGACAAGAACTGCATGTTGCAGGATTCTTTGGCCCTCCAAGCTGCTGAAAAATCCTTCTATGATGTCCTTGGCCAAAAATACCCTCCTTCGCCAAATCAAATTCTTCCTTGTTTCAATCAGAACATCTACAGTCCAGATGATTATTTCATTATGGGAAGCAGTAACAATAGCAGTAATAGCTATACAATTGCTAGTAGCCTGGTTGAATCTAATTATATTTGTGATCAAACCCTACTTCAAAGTTCTCTTATTAACTCTCCGTTTAGTACCTTTTTGGTACCAGATTTGTATAGTCAGATACAACCTTTTGAATGGTTCCGGGGAGGAATAGGAGAAGCTGGTAAGGGACATCTTAATGGCGGTGTAAATGTTGCTGCCCAAAGCAACTTATTGAAGCCTTCGAAGCCAGAAGTAGTGGCAGTAACCATGGCAGAGAAGACTATAAGTTATTCTCCTCCAGATGGGTTAGGAGGTCGTAAAATTTATCAGCGTGATGATAATGATTATCTTGAAGATGGGAGGAGCAAGAAGCATCCTGCATTTTCTCTTGCAGACCCGGACGAAACAGAGATGTATGATGACGTATTACTCAGCAACGCTGAGAATAACAATTCAGAATTGTGTTCTCTTCATGGACCAATCCAGAATAGATCAAGTGAGGAGTTGCAACATAACAGACAGGGAAGAACGAAACACACAAAGAAGAAACGGGGTAACAGAAGAGAGGTGGTGGATTTGCGTAATCTACTGACTCAATGTGCACAAGCTGTGGTTAGCTATGAACAAAGGACTGCAAATGAACTACTGAAACAAATCAAACAGCACTCTTCTGCAATTGGAGATGGAACTCAGAGAATGGCGCATTATTTTGTTAATGGTCTTGAGGCACGACTCGATGGCACAGAAACTCCAGCCTATAGCCCAACTGTAAGTAACAGAATATCTGCAGCTGATATCCTAAAAGTTTACAGGTTATTTAGTTCAGTGTGCCCCTTCAAGAAAATGTCAGTTTTCCTTTCAAACAAAACCATTATGAAACTGTCAGAGAAAGCAACAAGGCTCCACATCATTGATTTTGGCATCCTTTGCGGTTTCCAATGGCCTAATCTTATCCAATGTCTATCGGCTAGGCCTGGTGGACCTCCCAAGCTTCGTATAACAGGAATTGAATTTCCTCAACCGGGATTTCGACCTGCAGAAAGAGTTGAAGAGACAGGGCGTCGCTTGAAAAGATACTGAGAGAGGTTCAATGTACCATTTGAGTACAATGTCATAGCGCAGAAATGGGATACTATTCAAGTTGAGGATATCAACATTGACAGGGATGAGATGACTGTTGTTAACTGTTTGTACCGGATGAGGAGCATACCGGATGAGACAGTGGACTTCGTTAACAGCCCAAGGGACATTGTTTTAAGACTAATAAAGAGAATTAATCCAGATATCTTCATCCACGGGGTGGTTAATGGTACTTACAGTGCACCATTCTTCATCACAAGATTCCGGGAGGCTTTGTTCCATTTCTCTGCACTGTTTGATATGCTTGAGGCCACTATACCTCGCGAAGATCAACAGAGGTTGATGTTTGAGAGAGAAACATTCGGGAGAGATATCATGAATGTGATTGCCTGTGAGGACATACAGAGGATTGAAAGGCCGGAGACTTACAAGAAGTGGCAGGTTAGAAATGCCAGGGCTGGGTTCAGGCAACACCCATTAGATAAGGAAATATTGAGGGAAATGAAGAGTTTAGTGAAATCAGGTTACAATTCAGATTTTGTTATCGATGAGGATGCCAAGTGGATTCTCCAAGGGTGGAAAGGGAGAGTGAGTTATGCTCTCTCTTGCTGGAAACCTATCCAGGAGTAGCTCCACTGCCATATTGTTAAGGTTATACCCATTACCCAATGGCTAAATGGATTCAACTTTCATATTATCATACCTTTACTCTGTTTCAACCGCTGTGCGGTAGTCGTAGAACGTAATGCCAGGTTTAGATGATTTTTGCTTGATGATTTTGGGCATTAATATATCTTACAATATGTTCATTTATTTTATTCTTTGTTAAAGAAACAACCAAACAGGTACAAAAATGTTTTTGACTGTTCGAATGCAAATTTTAATAGTTCTGAATTATTTTGGTTCTTTTAAGTTTCAGTACATGTCGTCGGACATGAGAGTGTGAGAGAGGTTACCTCTTACTGTTAAGCAATAAAATCAAGTGGCTAATGAACAAAATTGAAAATTCAGAAGATCACAAGCTTACAGTTTCAACTTTCACCTGAAATAAATAAAAAAAAAAATGTTGACTAAAATCTACTGATTATGCTCACTCTTTTTGCTTGGGAACTTTGGTGGTCTAAGAACACTCCAGTCAACCTTGTCCCGCTTTGCCTGCTTATAGGAGCCTTTATGTTTACTTGGTGGTGATTGATTCCCAGCTTCAATAGTTTTTGGTGATTTATTTGAATATTGTTGTTCAGACTCTACTTCAGACTGTTTTCTTTTAAGGTCTATATTTCCCTCACCAGGCAGTCTAACTTTCAAACACTCTGCTCCATCTTGTGAAGATCCATTTTCTCTATACCACAGCAAAGAACGATAACAATAATCTGTGTCAGTGCAAGTAACAACTGAAAAAATATCATCCATATGTATGTAAGCAAACAAATTGTAATTCTAAATTTTCTATCCACTGATTCACCCATTATCCGCACATTTTTCTACCATATCTCCATACATAATACTTATGAAGTGTGTAAGGGATTTATCAGTCATCCAAAATCAAAATTAGTTTTGCAAAATTGCTTTGATCAGAGATGTTTCACATGGATAGTGACAAACAAAAACCCATATTCCTATAGTGAATTTATAGAGAATTGTGAAAAAAATAATAATAAAAGACATTGTAGACTAGATATGAGGACAGAAGCATCCCTAGAGAAAAAGTCAATCAATCAATAAACAAGGGCGAAAACTCATATTGAACTCATTTATTTCCTTTACTGTTTTGTGAATTAAGCTCATGCCCACAACTTGAAGTGACAGTTGAGTCTGGTAACTTCAGGTACAGCCATAAAGTTTAGAAATGGCAGACTCAAAAAATAAGGGAAATTCAGAACTTAACTCTATGTATTTGAGTACAGAACTCCAACTCTGTGTATAATTTAGCATTAAATACAGTAAAAACATTCCAACAATTTTCAAAGACATGTCACTCAAATGCAGTGGAAAATATATCCTGGTGATTGTGTAAAAGACAATCAGAATAAAGAACCACCTACCTTTCAGAATTTCTTACAGTTTGATTGCCAGAATATGAGGCAGATGCTTCTGGTTGTTGAACATTGCTTGCTGCTTCATTCAGTTTCTACCAAGACAAGGCTTAGACATGAGGAAAAGTAGTCAATGGTCAAATGGAAAATTTTCAAGTCACTCGACCTGTATACTCACATCAATAGAAGGATTAAAACTTTGAAATGACATCCGGCCTACAATAGCTCCTGGATGTGGATCCCCCTCCATTATAACCACACTGCATGCACACAATGATACATTACAAACCATCACGCAGGATAAAGAAGACAGGTAAAAGCCTGTCAAAAATGAAAATCATTACAGAAAATTAAACTAAAACTGAAGCTCTGTAGATGATTGCTGCTATTCTACCATACTGGGCATCTACAAATGTACTTCTAGAGTTTAAGTTGTATAAATACATCTTTGAAGGAAGGTCATTGTGTTCCTCATACAATCCAAATGTCACATCTCGATGCCTATTCATTAAAGTCTCAACAGATTTCACTTGTGCTAATGACACATGTTAAAATGTAAACCCATCTTAAACTCAACAAGATTACTTGAACTTTCTGATTCAACAAGTGTTCTGTATCTTTGACAATAGCTTCCAGCTAAAAAATAAGCATACTCAAAAAAGCAAGGGCCTTTGCACTGAGATATTCAGTATCCCTTACTTTGGAAACAAAAGTGTCTAGATTTTTACATCAAGGACCCTCATTTCAGCTATATGAAAATATAGAATATAACCTTTGGTGACCTAAACTAAACCTCAGCTGAGGCATTATGGTCTCTAATTTGAGTAATAAATCCAACTCTTTCAGTAAACTCATATCATTCCATAAGCAGACTAATGCCAGACTGACATTAAAAGTTAAAAGCATACAAAAATAAAAAAATTTCAATTGACGTCAAACAAGATTTCAAACCAAAGCAGAAAAGTTGACAAAGTAATAATACCATTTTCTTTTAACGGTTCCAGGAAATATGAAGTTCCCATCAGGCTTGACCTCCTCTTCTTTCTTAATTTTCTCCTCCCTATGAGTCACCCTTTGCATAAACTATTACAAAATTACAATCATTATAAACCAAAAATCCCATATCAGCTCAGAATTCCGAATAAGCTAATCGAGCTGAACTGAACGCAAAAACTAACGAAATCAAGCAAACGCATTTAAATAAAAGCAAGACCCAGTACAAATCTTCAAAGGTTGAGGTTATGTATTACCTTCAAGTTCTTTAAAGTGCTGGAAAGCTCCCGCCGGGCCATGTTGACCTTATAAATTTTGGCACGAAGGTCAAACAAGGGCTCAAATCAACAAATCATAAACCTATTTTGCTGTGAAACTTGGTGTTGGTGTGCTGTACTCCTGACAGGAACACCTACAAGGACAACGACTGGGAAAAACCGAGGGCTACGCAAGTCGACAGGATTTAGAGCTCTTCCTACAATGGGCCTTCGAAAAAGAGACATGATTTTACGCCCAATAATGTAAAAAGGTAATTAACGGGCCATAAACACTACTTATATGGACGATTAGATGGCTCCTCTCTGAATTGGGCCTTAAATAGTATTTTCGACCCGATTCTTTTATATTCTTGTGTAAATATAAGCCCAATAATAGAGTCATCTTTTCGTTTTACAAAATTTACATAAAAGTGTAAGATAAATCAAATATGAGTAATATTACACTAACAATTATTTTTTATAAATTTTGTTCATAATCCTGATTTAGTAGCTCATAATTAATTAATAAGATCTATGTGCGACTCATGTGACATTCGTTGTGAATTATTCAATTACGAACTCTCACCTAAGGTTGTAAAAGAGAGTGTTATTGATGTAGGGATCAAATATTATTGAAGGCAGAAAAACAATAATATAAGTTAACAAAACGTCTCATAACTCATAAAAGGAATCGCCCAACCAGGTTTTAACTAGGATTAGAGTTAATACCTTCACTCTCTTTTTAACTATTAAACATTAAAAAACCAACTTCAAACTTCAACCCTTCTACAATTGCCAACTTTTTTTATCATACACCTCAAAGGTTCTTCTTTTTTCAACTTCTTGATCGCTGCACAACCAAAACATGTTTATTTACATTCATAAACTTCTATTCTCGTCTTTCACTTTTATATTTTTTATTGTCTTTTCTTCATCACTATGCTTTTGTGCATTGGTTCATGGGATTTTTTTTTTTTTTAAAAGTCATAGTTTATCGTTTTTGTTCTCGGATTAGTTTTTTCTGGTTTTGGTTGATCAAGATGTGAACTGGGTTTCTTTTATGTCCACTGATATGCTTACTTGTTTATTGTTTTGTGAATATATGCAGATTGTTCACTATCTTGTGGGGTTTAGCTCTTTGATTTGGTGATCATGGTATGTTACTCATTCATCATTGCACTTAGTTTTAGTACGTGCTTGTTGAAGTAAGGATCTGTGGGCCAAAATTGCAATGTTATATGATAAGAATTTTCCTGGTTATATGCTTGATCAGTGTGATTGTTGAGCATGATTAAGAGTTGGTTTACCGGCTTGTACTAGATAATACTATCAAACGGTTGGTGGATCGCAATCCACGATCTTGCTTATTATTGTATGATGAAAAGATTTACTATATATGTCTAATTTCTTTGATGCTTTTGGATCAGGCTTTAATTTATTTAGTTATGATATGGTAATGTGTGCTTGTTCACTCTTCTAATCATGTGTTTTGTGATTTTAGGCTCACGGAAACAACCGCATTTCAACATTTGAACGTCTTTATCGTTGCTATCCTGTTTCTTTCATTGATAAGGTAAGATAATTTGATTTTTTGTTTCTTTTCCTTTAATTCTGGCCAAGAAAGGAGATTTAGTGGTTAAGGCTTTGCTGATTCTCTCTGTGAAATAACCAAAGATCTAATCAGCTACTCTCAAAAGCCTTTCCTAAATTAGATGAACTGCTACTAATATTTTAGCTGCAAAGCTTATCAACGTTTTATATTTATAATTAGTTCATCCGCTAGACTTCAACTAAAGTAGGTTTTGACTAATTTTCCAAAATCTCTAGTTAATATCAGTAAATTTAAATTTGACCTTTATGCTTTGGATTTTCCTTAAATGCTCTATAAACATCAGATTGTCGATGAAATTTAATTACTTAAAATCTTTGCAGCCGCATCTGGAAAAGGGTGATAAAAGTATGTTTTCTTTTCTTGGCCAAGTTTTGTTAATTTTCATTTTTCTGTTAGAAAAGAGATTCAAAGTTCTTTTATTTTTTGTTCTTCAAAGGCTTCCAAATTTACTGATTATGTTGTACCTTTATACTTCCAGTTGTTATGCCACCCTCAGCTCTTGATCGCCTTGGTAAGTAGAGAGTTTTAGTTTTGCATTATCTTCATTCATTCCAGACCAGCTGAATTTCAAATGCAATTTTTCTTAGTTCCATTCAAGCTGAATGTTCAAATGCAGTTTTCTTAATGTCAATGTCAACGTCTACCTTTTCTCTTCAGCTTCTCTACATATTGAGTACCCTATGTTGTTTGAGTTGAGTAATACTTCTGCTGGGCGGATCACTCATTGTGGCGTCCTAGAGTTCATTGCTGATGAGGGTCTGATATACTTGCCATACTGGGTATGCTTTTTGCTTTTCTATTTCCTTTATGAATATGGTTGCCTCTTTGTTTGTATTGATGATTGTATGCAAACCATAAGTCAGGCTCCTTTCTCTCTGAAGTGAAAAGCAACTGCTAGTGAAAATATGTATGAGTGCCGTTATCAGTTTCTAGATGCTACTTATTTTATTTGTTTTATGATTTCAGATGATGGAAAACATGCTCCTACAAGAGGGAGACATTGTGAAAGTAAAAAATACCAGTCTAGTGAAGGGATCTTATGTGAGGCTACAGCCCCACACCAAGGACTTCTTAGACATCTCAAATCCCAAAGCCATGTTTGTTTATCACCCTGGCATCTCCCTTTCTATAAAGTACCTGCAAGAATGATTCTTTCCCTTCATTTGTTTGTCAACTTTCTTTCTTTATGGTCACTTGCAGCTTGGAGACTTCTTTGAGGAGCTACTCTTGCTTGACCACTGGTGATACCATCATGGTTCCTTATAACAATAAGAAGTATTATATTGATATAGTTGAAACAAAGCCCTCCTCTGCTGTCAGTATTATTGAAACAGACTGTGAGGTGGACTTTGCCCCTCCACTTGATTATAAAGAACCAGAAAAACCTACATCTTCTCTGTCGAACAGGACAAGACCTGAAGGTATCTTTCACTTAAAAATGTTGCATTTGATATTTAAATTGGAACTTAAAGTTTTGTGAATATTTTTCTTAACAGATGACCATAATCCCAATCTTTCAGTTGAAGAAGAGCCAGCCAAAAAGATCGCAAAGTTCAGCCCCTTTACTGGTTCAGGGAAACGCTTGGATGGCAAATCCTCAACACAACCAGCTGCACAAGCTCCCTCTTTCTTGCATAAACCCCAGCAACCAAAAGATGACAGTAAAACTAATGGTTCCAAGTCTAGTGCTTCATCACGTCAGCATTCTGGAAAACTCGTGTTTGGATCAAATGCAAGCCAGACCTTAAATGAAACTACAAAAGTATGTCATGTTTTATTAGTTTTTTTGGTATCAGAGGACTTCATCACCTGATTTTAAAGCACACAAACACGCACAAATTGATGACAAACCTAACTCAGGAGACTCCCACTTATCTATTGCATTGACTTTTATGATTTAGGTTGCTCCAAAGAGCGGAAGCCAAGATTCACCTGAGAAGATGGAAAAACGGAAGTTCCAAGCATTCACTGGGAAGAAATATTCATTGAAAGGTTGATTTTCTTCATGCTTTCTCATTATTCGTCCTCTTTTGGCTAATGAAAGGATAGTTGAATCATTTTGGAGACTAGAGATCCCTGTATAAGCACTATACTAAATTTACTCATTCAAATTGTGTATATAAGTATTATATGGCAGATCACAATTCTTTAAAATGTAATGTTGCCTTTTTTTTTCTTCTTATAGATCGTGTTTTTTAAATTCTATTTCTTGCAGTAAGTTTTCTGTAATCATTTCTGGTCATAATAGCCAGTAATACTTGCCAATTGAGTCGTCCCCCTCAAGCAGAGATTGCAACGAACGTTCTTTGTTCGAGGTTTTTTTTTTTTTTTTTTTTTTTTTCAGGAGCTACATGGGCGAAACCCTTCTCTAACATACTAAAACATGCTGATTCATATATTTATTGGCAACTGAAGTCTAACTATATGCAACTGTCTCAGCTTATTTACCATCATCGTGGATAATCCGTGTGAGATAAAGTCTGCAAGTTTCACTTAAAAACAGGAAAGGAGGAAAAAAGATACAGATACTAAAGTTTATATTAAGTTACATTTAACTCTCCTGCTACACCATAGCGAAGGCAAAAAAGTCTCATTCACTAAATGACTAAAAGCTAAGCCTTCACTGGTGTTTCGATAGCCACCTTTCCTGAATACACAACACTTTCAGACTTCTCGTCAGCTTCCCAGAGCTCTGGCAATGCCTCCCTGATATTGTGTATGCTCTCTAGTGCGTAGTCCACACCATCAGCTCGGTGAGAAGTTCCCACCTATACCCGTTTCATAGATAGTTTTAACCAAGAAATCGAGGTTATAGAAAAAAACGAAAAACAATTAAGCACATTTATTCTTTGTTTGAGATCAACAGCTTACCCACACAGTGTGAAGGCCCATCTTTTTACCAGTCTGTAAATTTCGAACACTGTCATCAAAGAACAACTGCCATACAATACACATAATTATGTCAAATGGCACAAAGGTCTTACTGTTTGTGATGAACAAAACAAAAGCTTGTATTTTCAGAATCAAGCAGTGCATTTCATATGTTAATTCAATCTGTTATGCAGAAAGAGGAATAAACATCTTACTGTTTTCTGAGGATTGATATTGGCAATCTTGAAAACTTGTTCAAATGCTTGTTCAAATGGTTTGCAGACAACTGGAGTATTAGGAAGTTCCAAGTCAGCATTGGGACGTAAAGAATAATCATTGATGTCAGATATTTCTCTTAATTCAGAGACATTCTCAGTTACAGGAACAGTGTCTTTGTCGGTGGGATTCAAAGTTTCAAAGCATATAATCCTTTCAAAGCAATCCTCCAAACCAAGCTTGCTAAGCACTGTGCTAGCATGATTTTTATCTGCATTGGTGAAAATCTAGACACAACAACAAAATGTTACCATGAGAAAAAAGAAAAACAAACAAGTTGCGTGTGTTCTAACAAAGAAAGAAAACTTACAACTTTCTTAATAGGCAGACTAAGTAAAAGATTCCTTAAAATAGGGTCGGGTTTTAGCATATTGTAGGGCAATCTCCCATGAACAAAACTGTGAAACAAGGAAAATGTTATTCTGTATGCTTTACATCAACTACACAAACAGAAACAAAGGAAAAATGGGTACCTGTGGAAGTCATCATAGTCGAAGTTATAGCCGATTGCCTAAAAGAAGACCATGATAAGAAATTTACTTGTCAACATGTTGACGTTCGCTCAGATAAAATTCAAACAAAAGATCGCCAATATCATACCCTAAGACCAGCCATAGTTGTCCCATAGAGTTTATACAAGGAAATACACAATTCAGGAACTTTACTCTCCTCCAGGCCAAGCTTGTGGAACATATATTCTAGAAATAAAAATACAAAAGTAAATAACTGTTCATGACTTTTAATTAAGAAAATGAATCATTTGCAGAGAATTTGAAGTCAAAATGATATGTATTCAATACCTCGAATATTCTTGGTGACTTCCAAAGATAAACCAGAACTCAGAGGATAAAGGGTGTCATCTAGATCTGGAAATTACACAAAACAAGCTGATACTTTAATGTCAATAACATTTAAATTAAAACATAAAAGGGATTTCCAAAATGCAAATCAACACTTACCAAATAGGAGACAATCATATTTTTGGTTTGAAATCTGATTGTTCTCATTGTTGTAATCCATCTTGAACTAAATCACTTCAAAGAACAAAAAGAAAAGCACACAATTAAAATTTCAGGCATCACTTGAGATCTTAGAGACCTAAACTCGAGCATTAAGCATAAAATTATCAAATTACCCTATAAGAACAGATAATGAATTTTTCAACTTTCATTAATGACATATGATTTGACGGGACAGAAAAGTGAAATGTAAAAGCTTTGAAAGCGAATACCATTAGCAAGCAAAGTCGAAATTCTAAATCCAAAAAATACTCAAAACTTTAACAACAAAAACTTGGAAGATGGAACCGCAACACAAACCCAAAATTATTCATCAAACAATCTGTAAATAAAAGCATCAAAAACCTATTATACAACTTTATTCAATCTTCAACACAAGAGTGCATCAACAAAAAAAAAGCGAGATCAAATGTGTGTATACAAAAGCACTAGATATAACATCTAACTAATGTTACTAAAAATGCATATAAAGAATCATTTAACATTAAAAAAAAAAAAAAAAAAAAATGAACATTACCAGATCTAAAATTAGCAATGTCTTGTTAGAAAAGGAGCGAAACAAAAGTAGTAAAGCTGGAGAGAGATAAGAAGAAGAGGTTAAGAGTTGAGAGAAATGGGAAGATATAAAAGGGTTTTTAGTGTTTGAAACAAGGCGCTTTAAATAAGGGAGGTTGAACAACCCATGAACCGAGCTTTTTTTTTTTTTTTTTTTTTTTGTTTCAGGAGCAAATGGGGCTTATAGATCGTGTTTTTTAAATTCTATTTCTTGCAGTAAGTTTTCTGTAATCATTTCTGGTCATAATAGCCAGTAATACTTGCCAATTGAGTCGTCCCCCTCAAGCAGAGATTGCAACGAACGTTCTTTGTTCAAGGTTTTTTTTTTTTTTTTTTTTTTTTTCAGGAACTACATGGGCGAGACCCTTCTCTAACATACTAAAACATGCTGATTCATATATTTATTGGCAACTGAAGTCTAACTACATGCAACTGTCTCAGCTTATTTACCATCATCGGGGATAATCCGTTTGAGATAAAGTCTGCAAGTTTCACTTAAAAACAGGAAAGGAGGAAAAAAGATACAGATACTAAAGTTTATATTAAGTTACATTTAACTCTCCTGCTACACCATAGCGAAGGCAAAAAAGTCTCATTCACTAAATGACTAAAAGCTAAGCCTTCACTGGTGTTTCGATAGCCACCTTTCCTGAATACACAACACTTTCAGACCTCTCTTCAGCTTCCCAGAGCTCTGGCAATGCCTCCCTGATATTGTGTATGCTCTCTAGTGCGTAGTCCACACCATCAGCTCGGTGAGAAGTTCCCACCTATACCCGTTTCATAGATAGTTTTAACCAAGAAATCGAGGTTATATAAAAAAACGAAAAACAATTAAGCACATTTATTCTTTGTTTGAGATCAACAGCTTACCCACACAGTGTGAAGGCCCATCTTTTTACCAGTCTGTAAATTTCGAACACTGTCATCAAAGAACAACTGCCATACAATACACATAATTATGTCAAATGGCACAAAGGTCTTACTGTTTGTGATGAAAAAAACAAAAGCATGTATTTTCAGAATTAAGCAGTGCATTTCAAATGTTAATTCAATCTGTTATGCAGAAAGAGGAATAAACATCTTACTGTTTTCTGAGGATTGATATTGGCAATCTTGAAAACTTGTTCAAATGCTTGTTCAAATGGTTTGCAGACAACTGGAGTATTAGGAAGTTCCAAATCAGCATTGGGACGTAAAGAATAATCATTGATGTCAGATATTTCTCTTAATTCAGAGACATTCTCATTTACAGGAACAGTGTCCTTGTCGGTGGGATTCAAAGTTTCAAAGCATATAATCCTTTCAAAGCAATCCTCCAAACCAAGCTTGCTAAGCACTGTGCTAGCATGATTTTTATCTGCATTGGTGAAAATCTAGACACAACAACAAAATGTTACCATGAGAAAAAAGAAAAACAAACAAGTTGCGTGTGTTCTAACAAAGAAAGAAAACTTACAACTTTCTTAATAGGCAGACTAAGTAAAAGATTCCTTAAAACAGGGTCGGGTTTTAGCATATTGTAGGGCAATCTCCCATGAACAAAACTGTGAAACAAGGAAAATGTTATTCTGTATGCTTTACATCAACTACACAAACAGAAACAAAGGAAAAATGGGTACCTGTGGAAGTCATCATAGTCGAAGTTATAGCCGATTGCCTAAAAGAAGACCATGATAAGAAATTTACTTGTCAACATGTTGAAGTTCACTCTGATAAAATTCAAAGAAAAGATCGCCAATATCATACCCTAAGACCAGCCATTGTTGTCCCATAGAGTTTATACAAGGAAATACACAATTCAGGAACTTTACTCTCCTCCAGGCCAAGCTTCTGGAACATATATTCTAGAAATAAAAATACAAAAGTAAATAACTGCTCATGACTTTTAATTAAGAAAATGAATCATTTGCAGAGAAATTGAAGTCAAAATGATATGTATTCAATACCTCGAATATTCTTGGTGACTTCCAAAGATAAACCAGAACTCAGAGGATAAAGGGTGTCATCTAGATCTGGAAATTACACAAAACAAGCTGATACTTTAATGTCAATAACATTTAAATTAAAACATAAAAGGGATTTCCAAAATGCAAATCAACACTTACCAAATAGGAGACAATCATATTTTTGGTTTGAAATCTGATTGTTCTCATTGTTGTAATCCATCTTGAACTAAATCACTTCAAAGAACAAAAAGAAAAGCACACAATTAAAATTTCAGGCATCACTTGAGATCTTAGAGACCTAAACTCGAGCATTAAGCATAAAATTATCAAATTACCCTATAAGAACAGATAATGAATTTTTCAACTTTCATTAATGACATATGATTTGACGGGACAGAAAAGTGAAATGTAAAAGCTTTGAAAGCGAATACCATTAGCAAGCAAAGTCGAAATTCTAAATCCAAAAAATACTCAAAACTTTAACAACAAAAACTTGGAAGATGGAACCGCAACACAAACCCAAAATTATTCATCAAACAATCTGTAAATAAAAGCATCAAAAACCTATTATACAACTTTATTCAATCTTCAACACAAGAGTGCATCAACAAAAAAAAAGCGAGATCAAATGTGTGTATACAAAAGCACTAGATATAACATCTAACTAATGTTACTAAAAATGCATATAAAGAATCATTTAACATTAAAAAAAAAAAAAAAATGAACATTACCAGATCTAAAATTAGCAATGTCTTGTTAGAAAAGGAGCGAAACAAAAGTAGTAAAGCTGGAGAGAGATAAGAAGAAGAGGTTAAGAGTTGAGAGAAATGGGAAGATATAAAAGGGTTTTTAGTGTTTGAAACAAGGCGCTTTAAATAAGGGAGGTTGAACAACCCATGAACCCAATACCCAATATTAATATCAAAGCGACAGTTTCTAATTGGTTGCAATTCTGGAAGATACTGAAAAGTAGGAGCCACTATTTTCTGAATTTTATGACGTGGTCGACTTGAGTTCTGACACGTTGTGTCGCGTATGGAACTGTGTTCACAGGTTTTTGTAAACTGACACATGGTCGTCGCTGGACGAAGCATTTTGATTGTTTGCAGACGCGGCTCCAAAGTCAATATCTAAAAACAGTCGCTTTACTTTCATAAATGTAAACCAACTTTAAGATTGCTTGAATACATTACGTCAGCTTGTGAATAATGTATTCTTATAAATATAATTGGTTAATATTACTTCATTTAGAACGTGTTTATCATCCTTTCATGTCTACTAATAATTAACAAGATCTGCTCCTCATGGAATGAGATATGGAGAATATAAAAGGGAATCGAAGAGACAGTTCACGTAGATCCACTCTTGAAAATGGATGGACTTTGTTAAATAATTAAATAAATAGACGACTTATATACAGAAGACGATCTATGGTGTATAAATTTACACTGAGTTATTGAAGTTTGCATAAAGTGACTCTTATCACAAGTCATATATGGATCCCAACACAGAGACAGCCCATGTTAGCTCCATTTGGGGATTGTTTTTTGGCTTTTCCGAAACAAATATTAAACACTGATCTAAAATCACATTTAAGGAGATTTTATTGATGTTCATATTTAAAGATAAATCCTCAAAAACAAAAATAGTAGATATTGGTAGGGCTAACTGCAGCCTATACACATGGCTGTCGTCATACAAATTTACACTAGGCTGTAACAGTGGTCTCAATAGCAACCTTTCCTGAATACTTGATGCTTTCGGACTTGTTGTTGGCATCCCATAGCTCTGGCAGTGCTTCTCTGATATTGTGAATGCTCTCCAAGGCATAATCACAACTGTTTGTTCTACGTGATGTGCCCACCTGGTACAATTGGGTGATGAATATTAATCACCATCAAAACAAGTTTGGGAATTTTTTTCCTGCTAGTAGTATCTGTCAAAAATTTATCAACTTACCAACACTGTATGGAGGCCAACACTTTTTCCTGTCTCTATATTGCGGATGCTATCATCAAAAAACAGCTGAAAAATCAAGAAAACTGTTGTTAATAAAAGCAAGATTAATGCTCAAAGTTATATCAAGATGAAAGAGAGATTATTTCTCGTACAACCCTTTGCTCATAATCCTAAAGGTAGATGTTGGTGGCATCAAGTAAATCAGAGTAAAAAGGTTATCTTACTGTTTTTTCAGGGTTGATGTTAGCTGTCTTGAAAGCCTGTTCAAATGCATCAGGGAATGGTTTACAAATAATTGGAGTCTTTGGAAGTGCTGAACAATCATTGTCGACACCAAGAATTTCAGAATCTTTGTTTTCATCATAATCAGTGGTTTTGTTAGTGGGATTTAGACTCTCAAAATTTACAATCCCATCAAAACAATCCTCCAATCCAAGCTTGAGAAGAACTTTAGCCACATGAACCTTATCCGCATTTGAGAAAATCTGTTACACAGAATCAAATATGATTACTCAAAAAAAATTTTAGCCAATTGGCTTGTTAATCAGATAAGAGGCAAAGGAACTTACAACTTTACGAATAGGCAGGCTAAGTAGCAGATGCCTTAGAACAGGATCAGGTTTCAGGTTCTCATAGGGTAATCTCCCATGAACATAACTACAAAAACAAAAAGTGTGAGATCATATATGATACATATTTGATATTTTTGAAGGAGATGAATCAGGGAGGAGGAAAAAGATACCTGTGATAATCATCATTGTCAAAATCATAGCCAATAGCCTGTAAAGTCAGGGACTATAATTATCGTTGTTCTATAATGATATATCAAAAAGAGATTTAACTTTTACCATACCTTGAGACCAGCCATAGATGTCCCATAATTTTTGTACAGAACCCGGTTTACCTCAGAAACTTTACTTTCCTCTATGCCAAGTGTCTGAATCATGTACTCTGAACAAGAGAAATTTATTCAATAATCAACTAAACATTGAACAACTTGAAGAAGAAATACATAAGAGAGATTAGAAAATCATGTCTACATGCATTTACCTTCAATATTCTTGGTGCACTGTTTTGATAAACCAGAACTCAGAGGATAAAGGGTGTCATCTACATCTGAACACAAATATATTTCCAATTGTCATAAAACTATACCATCTATTTCTGGCAATTAAAAAGATTCTAATATGTACAAAGATTACTTACCAAATAGAAGACACTCATATTTTGCCATGAGAGGAGCCTGCTGATCATATTGACTTTCGTATGCCATTTTGAACTGAAAAACTGGAAAAAGAAAACGAATAAGAATGTAACTGAAGAAGATAAAGGATTTAATCAAAAAGAAGAAAAGAAAGTAAAAAAAATTGCAGTCATTAATAGCTTAGACATAATGAATAAGTGGTGTTTAGGCAAGAATAGGACATTGGTGTATAAGGGGAGATGAATAAAATTTGTGTGATCTGTAACAAACTCAATGAAGGAAACATGAAGCTAGGCTTATTAAAGCAATTAAAATGAAGGAAGAAAAAAAAGAGGAAAAACAGAAGAGGTGTTCACCAACCTCAAAAATCTTAAATTAAGACCTTAAATACTATGTAATGAGATAAATATAGAGAGGCTATAAGAATAAGAAGAAGGAGGAAATGAAGAAGTTAAATAGGGAAGAGAGCTCAAGAATGGAAAGAGAGAGGAAGGTGATGATATAATTGGCCACATATATTTGAATCTTGACTTAGAGGACTCAAGGGCACCACCATTAGAATGGAGACTTCATCAAAAAGCAAAAGAAAAATAATAGTGCTACAGTTATTGAATTATGAGTCACTTTTTTAATTTAAGAATTCATAAATAAATGTTAGAATGAAGGCACGGGTGTGAAAGCTTACGAGAAATGAGGAGCAACGATTCCAAGTTTAAATATGACAATGTTCTCTCAAGTTATTAATTCTTTAATTTATAAACAAATTCAACAACTCATCTCATGTATTAAATCAAAATTAATTAGTATTATTCAGGAGGATGGTTGGTAACTCAAATAATTGTCGAAATGGAGAACAACAGTTGCTTATATTTTCTATTGAACAAAAGTCTAAATTGGAATTGTCTTTTATGTTAGTTAAGAATGAGAGTTGAATTAATGGAATGCAATGCATTATAAAATCAAATAAATACTAAAAGCTCCATAAGCGTGTGACAGTCCAGTTATGTTTGACCAGGTAAGATAATTAGTTGTTTCATTTATTTAAGCTCACACGTTTTTTCTGTTTGTCGAGAAGAATTAGATGGGCAACGTGAACAAGCGCTTGAAAGTACATTATTAAATACTCCCAAACATAATTTATTACATTCTCTCAACACACTTCTAGAGATAGGCACAACTACATTATCATCTCATTATAGTTTCACTAACATAACCGAATCCCGATTACCTTTGTGTTAAGCCCCGATATCTGGAATAATAGGGTCAACTCCATCAGGCTCAGGCCTCGGATCGGATGGCTTTTATAAATATTGCTACAGTGAATGACTAATAATAAGCTGAATAAAATTTTCAGCGTCTTCTATGAAATCTCTGTAGCTCCATACGAAGAAGCAGGCAACAACTTGAATGATTCTGGAGGTCAATCATGCAGGCAGGGGCAAAAGATTATTCAACCGTCAATAAAGCAATCCCAGTGCCCACGAAAACATTTGACAATTGGAGACCTTATTTGTCAAAATATCTTTTCAAGGAAAATACAACACTATAATTATGAATAAAAATTACACGAGTAAAAAATTCATCAAAGGAACGTAGACCATCTATCGTATGAACACAAACATTTCCCCCCACTTACTATGCGGGGGCAACTTGAGGTTCCAGAGGTGGAGGTCCATCCTCCACACCTCCACTCTCTGCTGCCTGCGAACTCTTCTCTTCCTCTTGAAAACCTAGCTTGAATCTATCATAATTTGACAGCTCACTGGATTTGAATGGCCGTTCACCCAGAACTCGAAGCAAATCATCTTGGTGGAGAACTTCCTTTTCCAGCAATAACTCAGCAATCTGAGCCACTTGCTCCTTGTGTTCCTCTATAAGTTCAATCGTTCGTGTATATGCCTTGCCCACCCATTCTCGCACTTCACTGTCTATAATTGCCCCCGTCTTGCTGCTGTAGGGCTTCATCATCTCAAATGAGTCTTCCCTTTGTGGAAAAGAGAGGAGACCCACCTTATCACTAAAGCCATACACTGCAACTTGGGCATATGTCATTTTTGTCACCTTCTCCAAGTCATTTTGTGCTCCAGTCGAGATTTTCCCCAACAAAACCTGAAGTCATTAAAGAAATTAAAATCTATTTCATATCAATAGTCAGTCTTCTTTTTTTTTTTTTTTCTCAATCTTAAAACTTTTTAAATTTTTTTTCATAATTTCATTTTTTCCCTTCCCACTTTATCGGTTGAGAGTTGGTGCAATCAGGGTAGAGGAATAAACAATAGAATCATAGTTACCATTACGCAGATATTTTATCATTCATCCCATCAAACAACTAAAGAAAAGGAAAATTCATAATCACCTCTTCAGCTGCTCGACCACCTAGTGTCATGCAAGTCATATCAAAAAGCTGCTCCTTTGTCAGAAGAAGATTTTCATTTGGAACATACTGGGCAAATCCAAGTGCTGCCGTACCACGAGGAACAATTGTCACTTTCAACAAAGGTTCTGCATGTTCCAAGAACCAGCCAGCAACAGCATGGCCTGATTCATGGTAAGCAACAGTCCGGCGTTCCAGCTTGCTTATCACCTGTCCAAAGACAGCATATTAGTAACTTTTCAAGGAAAAAGAAAAATAAGTCACTGAGGAAAAAATAAAAAGTTATCCTGCAGGCTGCAGCATACAGGAAGTCCTATCGCATTGAAGAATCTATAAAGCAACACATATAGAGCTCAAACAATGACAAGTTAATTTAAAGATTGGTTACCTTATTTTTCTTCTCAAGACCACCAATCACCCTGTCTATAGCAGACTCAAAATGATCCATTGTGACCTGTGCACTTTCACCCCTTGCAGCAATCAAGGCAGCTTCGTTACAAACATTTGCAATGTCTGCTCCAGCAAATCCAGGAGTAAGTGCTGCAAGCCTTTGAGAGAAATACGATGGCTCATGATCAAGTTTGATCTTTTTCAAGTAGATCTGAAATATCTGCTCACGGCCTTTGATATCAGGTTTATCAATAGCTATTTGGCGATCAAAACGACCAGGCCTCAATAGAGCTTTGTCTAAAATATCGGGCCTGTTAGTGCCAGCAAGCACAACAACTCCAGAAGTAGTCCCAAAGCCATCCATCTCTACCAGCAACTGATTGAGTGTGCTTTCACGCTCGTCATTGGAACCTGAGAAGCCTCCATGCCCCCTTGCTCGACCAATAGCATCAATCTCATCAATAAAAATTATACTAGGAGCACACTTCCTTGCTTTTTGAAACAAGTCTCTAACCCTAGATGGTCCAACACCAACAAACATCTCCACGAAATCTGAACCAGATATTGACAGAAAAGGCACATCAGACTCCCCTGCAGTTGCTTTTGCAAGGAGGATTTTTCCTGTCCCTGGAGAGCCAACCAAAAGCGCACCTCTTGGAATTTTCGCTCCAAGTTCCTTATACTTCTTCGGCTTCTTGAGGAAGTGCACAAACTCCATGATTTCTTGCTTTGCCTCATCGCAGCCAGCAACATCTTTGAAATAGACCTGGCATATTCCACTTTATAAATAACAATAGGAGAATACAAATCTATAACAGTTTTCTCACTGTGGTATGAATATAAAAACTTCATGGATATTGGTATAAAATAGAAGAAAAAATAATGCAGAAAAAGGTAAGCACCATGATTATTTGAGGAAACAGAAGACTAACCTTATTCTTGGCATTTTTGCGTATTTTTGTTACTTGGGCTTTTCCTTTGTCAAATATTCCACCTTTTCCATGCAAACCGCGAGCATCTATTTTAATTACCCGCCCAGCAAACATGAGGGTTCCCAAAAGAAAGAGTACTGGTGCATACCGCATCAATTCTTGGTACCAAACCATTTCAGAGATGTAAGTAACAGGTACATAATCAAGAGGGTCTATCCCCAGAGCTTCCTGGGCTTCCTCCAGCTTCTCCTCAAAAGACTCAACACTGCCAATATTGAAGTAGTATCTATACTGAACCCCATGTCCTTTTGCAGGCGCACCACTGACAGGACCTTGGAAATCATCTACACTAGTTTGATTGGGTGGGGAGCTCCTCACATATACTTTTGCAACTGATTTGTTAGAAACAACTATATGGTCCACTAAACCAGGTTCCAGAAGTTTGTTTTTGAACTCTTGGAAACTAATCTGTGTATAATAAAAATTAGAGAAAATAAGAAGAAAGTTATATATTTCAAAAAGAAACAAAAAAAATCCATCATATTCGTATCAGAAACAACCATACTAGAAATTTAAGAGAAAAGCTATCTTGATCATCACTTATTAACTGATTATACAATAAAATAATGCAAAGACAGCTTGATGTAGAAGAATAAGAGAGAATAGAAAGAGAAGATAGAATAGATAGAAAGAATAGAGAAATAGAGAAAAAAGGAGAATAGGAAAGGGACAGATTAGGGAGAATAGCAAGAAAGGGCAAGAGGTAGAAAAGAATTAAGAAAAAGGAGACAATGGAAAAGATAGAAATTAAAAGGGGAAGAGCAGAAATTAGAAGAAAGGGAGAGTAAGGGGAGAAAAAGATAACGAAGATCAATCAATAATTTTTATTCATATTCCAGGCTTATTTATAATGACCTAACCTAAACCTAAACATAAGTCTTATTCAAATAGATAACTATAATTGATTAAATCAAACTTCACAGATAATAAAGATAAATCTTAAAACTAAATAACTATCCTAAAATAAGTCTCTTGGTTCTGCATCACAACTCTTTTAATTTTGTTTGGCTAAGGTTGTATTAAGTGACGAATATAAAGAGGTTTCTCTTTTCTATGCTTTTACGACTTCTAAAATTGCACGAACTCTCTTAATCTTCCCCTTTCGTTTTACCTAACAAACAACCATATATTCTCTTGGGTATTTCAACAAACAGCTACCAAACAATATACCGAACCAGTATTTCGCTCTCAGCAAACCCCAATCCCATCAGAACTCCATTAAGTTTGTTGTTCCTCTGAAAAGAACTAGAACCCATGTTCATATTCTAATGAAATAAGTGCAGATTCTTCTCGAAGCCATTGCTAGAACCCTTGAAAAACCTCATCTTTGATTCTCTCAAAACAGCCCTTTTAAAATTGATATCATCAATGGTCTGGTACCTATCCATTGCAATTCAGCCACTAAATGGATGGGAATTTAGTTTTAAACCCCTTCTTTTGAATGTACTTTAGTTGGACTTGGTTGTTTTGGCCTTGGTTTGTGGCTATTGCGGTGGTGTTTAGGCTTATATTGTTTTAGAAAGTATTCTCGAGGTGAAGCTAACTATTTGAGCAACTGCCGTTGTTACTCTGTGTTACATGGTTAACACTGGTACCCACAGCCCATTTGAATGGCTACCTCGAAGGTGGCCTTTGTCTTCTTTTTGTGTACCTACTTTTTTTCTTCAATGTTGTGTAAGAAAAAGGTTATATGGCTACTACTACACTCTTGAAACTGACCCAAGTGGGATAAGCCTGCCTATCAGAGAAGGTGGTGGTGCCAAATGCATTGTTAGTTCGGACCATATGGTGGGTGAGGCATCCGATATGATTCTACAATGCTTCTACAATGTTAGTGTGTTGGTGAAAAGGTGAAATTAGAGGAGGCTTTGATGGTGAGATTTTTGGAGAAAGGTACCTGGAATATGCAACAAAGTTATGCACAAATTCATTCCTTTTGTATACTAGTGGCACAGGTATGCAGCTGTTAATATGCATGGTAATGGATTTATCTAATTCAAGTGTTTGAGCTTTGAACGTAGAAGGAAATGTTAGATTATGAAAATTGTTGCACTTTTTCTTTACCCATACAGTCATGTTTTGTTGCTTTTGATACCAATTAATTTCTTAGTTTGACTATGATTTTTTGATACTCAGTTTTATGAGCCTTGAGTGTTAGTCGGTTCATTGAGAAATTTGAGCTCACTTGGTTTTGTTGGCAGCCTCACCTACATAATTAATATTGGTTGATTCATTGAGAAATTTCAAGGGTTTGTATGCCATTTAGCTATACCTGAATCTCATCATTTTCTAGCATTTATAATTTATACGAACTTAGTTGCTCAAGTTTGGTTTGTCCGCAATATGTGGGCATGTCCATGTTCAGAACTTAAATTAGAACAAATCTGTCTTTTAACAGTCCAATTATATTTGACCATGTAAAAATTGATTTTTTTTTTTTTTTTTTTCCTGCATTTATTAGGCTCAACGTTTTTCTATTTGTAGAGAAGATTTAATAGCTTCAATAAGAAATCATTAGATGGGCAAAGGAACAATGCTTGTCAACATACTTTATCATGTCGTTATAGTTTCAGTACATGGCCAAACCCCGGTTTGAAATTTAGTTTCAACTTATTAACATAACAATTAGATTGCCTTTTCTTATGCCCCAAAATCTGGAATAATTGGGTCTAACTCCATCAGGCTCGGATCTGATGTCCTTTATAAATATTGCAGAAATTACTATCAACAAGCCATATGAATAAAATTTTCAACATTTGCTTTGCGGTCTTCTATGAAATCTCTGTAGCTCCATAGAAGAAGAGCAGGTGAACATGTCTCCACAATTTAATAATTCTAAAGGTCAATCACGCAGGCAGGGGCAACGATTTTCCACCGTCAATAAAGCAAGCTAAGTTCCCACGACCACGAAAACATTTGACAATTAGGGACTTTATTTGTCAAAATATCTTTTCAAGGAAAATACAACACTATAGTATGAATAAAAATTACATTAGTAAAAATTCATCAAGGAAAAGTAGATCATCTACCTACGAACACCAAATATACCCCCCAGTTACTATGTGGGAGCAACCTGAGGTTCCAGAGGTGGAGAACATCCTTCACACCTCCACTCTCTGCGCTGCGAACTCTTCTCTTCCTCTTGAAAACCTAGCTTGAATCTGTCATAATTTGTCAGCTCACTGGATTTGAATGGCCGTTCACCCAAACTTGAACCATATCATCTTGGTGGAGAACTTCCTTTTTTCAGCAATAACTCAGCAATCTGAGCCACTTGCTCCTGTGTTCCCCTATAAGTTCAATCGTTCGTGTATTGCCTTGCCCACCCATTCTCGCACTTCACTGTATAATTGCCCAGTCTCGCTGCTGTAGGGCTTCACATCTCAAATGAGTCTTCCCTTTGTGGAAAGAGAGGAGACCCACCTTATCACTAAAGCCATACACTGCAAATTGGTCATATGTCATTTTTGTCACCTTCTCTAAGTCATTTTGTGCTCCAGTCGAGATTTCCCCAACAAAACCTGAAATCATTAAAGAAATTAAATTTATTTCATATCAATAGTCGGTCCTTTTTTATTTTCAATCTTAAAACTTTTTAATTTTTTTCATAATTTCATTTTTTCCCTTCCACTTTACGGTTGAGAGTGGTGCAATCAGGGCAGAGGAATAAACAATAGAATCATAGTACCATTACGCAGATATTTTATCATTATCCCATCAAACAACAAAGAAAAGGAAAATTCATAATCCCTTCAGCTGCTCGACCATTCCAATTTAAAATGACAAAGGGTATAGAGTGCCAGTAAAAAAAGCTGAAAAGTGAGTGGTAGTCACCTTTGGACTCAGATTTCTGCTCATTTCCTTTTGGTATTTCCTTCTTCTCCTTTGGGTAGAAATTCTCATAATCTGCAAATACAAAGCACAACATAATCAAATGTTTAAATTGTAATCAACAAAACAAAATGACAAGAAACCTAAACATAGTTATTTAGCTTTACAAGTTACTATCTTCTTCTGAAATTCAAAATTGTATCCACTTAGAATCCGAGTTTTTATTTTAAAAACATCCCAAAGGTTACCTTTCTTCGCTTTCACAAGAATAAATATTATATTTTGCTTATAATCAAACATGATGGTTCTTAAATCTGAAAGAAAATTCAATAAAAACACACAAAACTGCCCGAATCCAATCTAACTGCAACTTTTTTTTCCTCCAAAAGCAAAAAAGGTTTCAAACAGTTCCCTATCGGAAATCAATAAAGTACTTTTCTCACTTCAAACACACAAAACTGCTCATGTTCCACTCCTAAATTTAATAAAACGACTTCCGGTATTCTAATTAAACAAGGGTCAGCTCTAAACAATAAATTATAGCAAAGAAGACAACAAACTCTAAACAATAAATTATAGCAAAGACAACAAATAGAAAAAAAAAAAAAAAGCAATGCCATACTTTTCTTATTCTTCGGCGCTTCAGTGGAGAAAAACCTGCGAATTATAGGGTTCGCAAGAGCATGATTCAAATCTGACAAATACGAGTCATTTTGACCTCCTATTGCAGCTAAATATCCCGTCCAAAACCCCAATCTTCCATCCACTCCATCCGCAACACGTGGTACCCGAAGAATCCCCCCACCCTCAATCGCCGATCGCAGTCCACCAGTACCGTACAACAAATTCTATCAACTCAAAGTAAAACCAAAATCAAAATTTAAAAAAAAAAAAAAAAAGTGCTTAAAAAAAAAAGGAAAACAAAAACAAAAACTCACTCTAGAATGAGAAGATCGCGTGAGGCCACGGCCGAGCTTGGAAAATATCATAATTAATATGAGTAATTAAGAGGAAATTAAATAAAAAAAAAAGTGAATAGGGTTTTTAGTTTTGATGTTTGGTTTAGGTTACAGAATCTGTATCTGTTGTTGATGAATATGATGATTGAGGCAAGTAGCCAGTGCTTGGAGACGCGCGATATTTGTGTCTATTTTTTTATTTTTCTTAATAATAAATTAATAATCACATATCAACTTGACAAACAAGGCATGAGATAGATAAGGTAGATTATGTAACAAACAACCGGTTAGATTTTTGTGCTGCTTTTGGTGTTGTGCCTCTTGTTTTAAGTTAAATGGGGACACGTTCCATAGCTGCCTATCTCACATATTTGGTTGATACGTTAATTCTAATTTATGATATAAAACCATATAATATCTTATTATAACCTTAATCAAATAAATCACACTTAGAAAACAAACTTGGTATAAATACAATTTTTATTTCACATTAGCTTTACATCGCTTATGATATTTGGGCCACCACAAGAAGCGGACCACAACCAGTTACCCCAATAATAAGTTGGGCCCATTTCGATCGTAACCATCGTCGATGACTTCTATAACACTGTCTGACCTTGAGATACTTGGGACAGGACACTTTCTGTGAAAAGTTTACAGAAAAGGTTTGTAGTAGTTTGCCACTGTAATTTGCCCATGTACAGCCAAACCAAAACCTCAAAAATCTAATTTTCTTCAGTTCCTCCCGGACCACCAGTTGTCTAATATAACAAATTGGGTATAAATATAACAATTTGGGTATAAATAGATGTACAATAAATCTTCAACACCAAACCTATCATAGGCTACAACAACCACTCTCCCCTCCCACTTCAATACACCCAAAACAAACATGACCCTTAGTAGATTAAGGTACACACATTACCCTTTTCCAAGTTCCAGATTGAAACATGCCTAAAAATTTGGTGATGCTAGCCAGCCGAGCAAGCAAGAGGCACTTTGTCCTGAAGAATGGAAAACAGTTTGTTCATCTAAAAGTAGTAAACATCAAACCAAAACATGACACCTACCCAAAGAAAACAAAGTCACCATTTTATACTATAAGCTATCTAAAACACACAATAAAAAGCCCTCCAGTAATAATTCCAAACTGACAGAAGATTGTTTTATAATTAGTTACTACATGTTATATTCAGCTTACAAGCAGATTCATTGTCTATGCAACATGAACAGTATAATCATATAATTGTGTACATCCTCCAGATGTTAAGAACGATTTTTAATGCCAACATTCTTTGCAAGCATAAAAACAACAACATTTAGATAGTTCCAATTTAAAATGACAAAGGGTATAGAGTGCCAGTAAAAAAAGCTGAAAAGTGAGTGGTAGTCACCTTTGGACTCAGATTTCTGCTCATTTCCTTTTGGTATTTCCTTCTTCTCCTTTGGGTAGAAATTCTCATAATCTGCAAATACAAAGCACAACATAATCAAATGTTTAAATTGTAATCAACAAAACAAAATGACAAGAAACCTAAACATAGTTATTTAGCTTTTCAAGTTACTATCTTCCTCTGAAATTCAAAATTGTATCCACTTAGAATCCGAGTTTTTATTTTAAAAACATCCCAAAGGTTACCTTTCTTCGCTTTCACAAGAATAAATATTATATTTTGCTTATAATCAAACATGATGGTTCTTAAATCTGAAAGAAAATTCAATAAAAACACACAAAACTGCCCGAATCCAATCTAACTGCAACTTTTTTTTCCTCCAAAAGCAAAAAAGGTTTCAAACAGTTCCCTATCGGAAATCAATAAAGTACTTTTCTCACTTCAAACACACAAAACTGCTCATGTTCCACTCCTAAATTTAATAAAACGACTTCCGGTATTCTAATTAAACAAGGGTCAGCTCTAAACAATAAATTATAGCAAAGAAGACAACAAACTCTAAACAATAAATTATAGCAAAGACAACAAATAGAAAAAAAAAAAAAAAGCAATGCCATACTTTTCTTATTCTTCGGCGCTTCAGTGGAGAAAAACCTGCGAATTATAGGGTTCGCAAGAGCATGATTCAAATCTGACAAATACGAGTCATTTTGACCTCCTATTGCAGCTAAATATCCCGTCCAAAACCCCAATCTTCCATCCACTCCATCCGCAACACGTGGTACCCGAAGAATCCCCCCACCCTCAATCGCCGATCGCAGTCCACCAGTACCGTACAACAAATTCTATCAACTCAAAGTAAAACCAAAATCAAAATTTAAAAAAAAAAAAAAAAAGTGCTTAAAAAAAAAAGGAAAACAAAAACAAAAACTCACTCTAGAATGAGAAGATCGCGTGAGGCCACGGCCGAGCTTGGAAAATATCATAATTAATATGAGTAATTAAGAGGAAATGAAATAAAAAAGTGAATAGGGTTTTTAGTTTTGATGTTTGGTTTAGGTTAGAGAATCTGTAGAGGTTTTACATTTGATGTGTTGGGAGAATGATTCCCACCCAAGGTAAGACGTAAGTAATTTCCCACCCGGAATGTTTCAAAAAACATATTTCCCACTCAATCGTTAAAATTCGGACGTCTTAACGGCAAAAGGCAATTCTCGTCAGTTTATGTATGCCAATTGTTTTCACATTAGCCTTACACTGCTGATCCAAAAAAATTTAACATGCTTATGATATTCGGCCCATCCAAGAAGTGGACGTGACCCAGTTACACCAATAACGATTTGGGCCCATGTTCTATCCTAAACATCAGTCGATGACATCTGAAACTCTGAAACAACACTACTGTTTGACCTTGAGACTCCTCCTCTATGCTTTTACTCCAAATTGGTGGACTTTCCCAAAATTTGTTACTAGAACTCTCTTAATCTCTTGCTTCACTTAAACATGGAAGCCACCACATCGGTGCTTATCTACTCAAGAACAGCTCCCTTTTGTTTCACCGTAAAAAACAACAATAAATTTTCTCTTGGGTATTTCAACAAACAGCTACCAAACAATATACCGAACCAGTATTTTCGCTCTCAGCAAAAACACAATCCCATCAGAACTACATTAAGTTTTGTTGTTCCTCTGAAAAGAACTAGAACCCATTTGTTATCGCCTCTTAAATGTTCATATTCTAATTCAACAAGTGCAGATTCTTCTCGAAAGCCATTGCTAGAACCCTTGAAAAACCTCACCTTTGATTCACTCAAAACAGCCCTTTTAAAAGTAACCCCTTTTGATATCATCAAGTGGTCTGGTATCCTATCCATTGCAGTTGCAGCCACTAAATGGACTGTGAATTTAGTTTTAAATCCCTTCTTTTGGATGTACTTTAGTTGGACTTGGTTGTTTTGGCCTTGGTTTGTGGCTATTGCGGTTGGTGTTTATGGCTTATATTGTTTTAGAAAGTATTCTCGAGGTGAAGCTAGCATATTGGAGCAACTTTCCGTTGTTACCTCTGTGTTTACATGGTTAACACTGGTACCACCAGCCCATTTAAATGGCTACCTCGAAGGTTGGCCTTTTGTCTTCTTTTTTGTGTACCATTACTTTTTTTTCTTCAATGTTAGTGTAAGAAAACGGTTATATGGCGACTACTACACTCGTGAACATGACCCCAAGTGGGATATAAGCCTGCCTATCTGGTCTCGCCTTTTGTTTTGTATTGGAGTTATGGTTGGTCATTGGCTTGCAGCCTTTGAAGCGCCGGAGTTGCATAGAATTCCTGGTGGGTGGAACAATGTAGGAGTGTGGATTTTGATAGTGCTGACTTTGTTGATGCAATATAATTCGACATTGTACCTGGCAAAATATTCGGAGAAGGTGGTGGTGCCAACTGCTGTTGTCCAGTTTGGACCATATAGGTGGGTGAGGCATCCGATATATGCTTCTACAATGCTTCTGTTCGTGACATATTCTGTTGCACTTCGGGCACCTCTGAGCTCGCTGTTTGTTATAGCAGTGTGTTTGGTGTATTATGAGCAAAAGGTGAAATTAGAGGAAGCTTTGATGGTGGAGACTTTTGGAGAAAGGTACCTGGAATATGCAAACAAAGTTATGCACAAATTCATTCCTTTTGTATACTAGTGGCACAGGTATGCAGCTGTTAATTATGCAGTGTAATGGATTTATCTAATTGAAGTGTTTGAGCTTTGAACGTAGAAGGAAATGTTAGATTATGAAATTGTTGTGTACTTTTTCTTTACCCATACCAGTCATGTTTTTTGTTGCTTTTGATACCAATTATATGTTCTTAGTTTGACTATGATTTTTTATACTCATTGTTTTTGTGAGTCTTGAGTGTATTAGTTGGTTCATTGAGAAATTTGAGCTCACTTTGGTTTTGTTGGCAGCCTCACCTGCATAATTAATATTGGTTGATTCATTGAGAAATTTCAAGGTTTTTGTATGCCATTAGCTATACCTGAATCTCATAATGTTTTTTCTAGAATTTATATGAACTTAGTTGCTCAATATTTGGTTTGTCCAATCATCCGCAATCTGTGGGCATGTCCATGTTCATGAACTTAAATTAGAACAAATCTGTCTTTGACCATGGCCCTTTTCTAGAGCAAATAACCTAACACAAACACATGACACAGTAGCTAGCAGATCAAAAGAACACAAATTTCAGTGTCTCAAAGAAGTTTGAAAGTTCTGATGGCAGGAATGGACCTTGAAAATTTATTGTAGAGTTATGTGGTTTGTCGTTAAGTATATGTTGTGTTCTTCTTCTTTGCAATTCTCTTTGTATTTATAGAGGTTCAAACTGCCCGTTGCACTGCATTTCTCCATTTTAATCCTTTAGCTGATTTGGAGCTTGACATGTATCCACCATATCTGTTCACCAATCATCAGCCAGCAGTTTTAGCACAACATGGCTTCTTACATTTAACAGATTATAAGGTTCTTCGAGCCGGGTTTTTCTTTTAATGCTCTTAACTGTAGCTGTAGTATACTCATATAAAACTAAATAACGAATAAAGAATAAAAATAAAAATAAAATAAAAACATTCTAGCTGTAGATATAGCATTGTCTCATTTCCTACCAAGCTCCTTAGTAAGCTACGAGAGAGATAGTCAACCACTTTGGTTTGGGCCAGGACTTGACTGATTTCAACCATGTCAATCCTTCTAGTAACCATTAACCATTTCATTGATTTTCTCCAATTGTGTCACCTGTTTTTCAGCATTTTTAAGGCAGTTGGGAAAGAAGGGAAAATGGGTTTATAGTTTTGCCAATTCACCACTTTCGTCATTACCAATTATCCTCCTTGCTATATTTTGGTTGATAGTTTCCGGTTAGTAAGTAACTCATGAATTTAGCTATATGAGAAAACTTTTGTTGATTCAATAGAATTTTGGCCACAACATATTGACTGCTGTTTTATCTTTTAAATCTACATGTTTCTTTGTTAGCCCCTATTTCCTGAAAATATGTTGTTGCAAATTTCATCATGATCAGACTTTAAGAAGTTGGTTTAAAAATATATATGTGTGTGTGTGTGTGTGTGGCCCCATTAAATAGGAATAAAGTAGAAGAGCTTTGACTGGGTGGTAGAGTTGTGGAAACACCAGTTTCTTCCATATTTTGTACCTTAGCTCCATGGAACAATATGCTAGTACTGAAACATATAAGAACTGAAATCTTATATTTAATCTTTTGCCTAACAGAAGTACTAAGTATTCTCTAAGTCATTATATTGTGCACTCTGGAATGGTGAATAAACTGTCATCACTGAGGTTTTTCCTACAACAACTATGTGGGTTGAATGAACTTAATGGTGGCCTAGGTTTATGGATCTAGACTTGAGCCATAGTCACACTAATGCCGAATTGTTCTTAAAGGAAATGAACTTTACAAAAATGGACTTGAAATGAAGAGTGAAGACTAAAAATAAATGTTCATAAGGAACTTCTATGAACCGGTATCACATAGAATTTGAGAAGATGAGATGCTGAAGGTTACAGTTAGAATAGCACTTTTAAATATGTATAAGATCAGAGTATTAAGGGATGTGTATAAGGCTAATAAGAATTTGCAGCTGAACTTTTTTGGTTTCTCAAAAAGCAATAACTTTGAAATTTGAGCATAAATGAAATGAAGATGTTGAGAAGAATGCCTATATAAGAAAGAAATTAATGATGATGAATGAATTGTTGAAAGGTGAAGGTAATAGCAATCATTCACAACATGGATGTAATTTGCCTACAATTATTAAATTTTGGTGAGTTGTCCATATACTAACAGGAAAATTTAAATGCCTTTTAATTTTTAATGGATCCCCTTTAATGTCTTGTATTACTTCACAGACGCAAAATATTAATTATGAAAAGCTGTGAAAGAAGTCTTGCAATTGAGCATGCAGTGTACTGGTATTTACCCTTTTAAAAAGAGTCTTTTTTGTGAAGCTATGTTAGTGATATATCATTGTTGACCACTACTTGGTAATTGTGTGCACTTCTGGCAATCTGATGATTCTATTCCTTTTTTTAATTCTTGGGAACTTTTTAACCCCAGGGGTTGAGTGGTTAGACGCTTGGTTTCAACCAAGAGGTCAGGAGTTCAGATCCCTTGGGACCACCCACTTAGGATATATCATGTCTCACAAGTTTTCTGGCTACCAAGGTTGTAGAATCCAAAAGTAGCCTTCTATGTAGAACTTGATGAATGCAAGGAAGGTTGAGCATGGAAATGATTATTGGGGTCAAGCTCATTTAGGAAAAGTGCCAACATATCATAGGACTGTTGAGCACAGGCGTGAATATTCCTGCTATTGCAGCTCAGTTGAAGGATTTCCATGCCCAGGCCCAGTGGAGTAGCCTTGATCACAATGGTCATCATTTATCATATTGTCTTAAATTGTTAGTATCTGTACATGATAGGATATCTTACTTTTATATGTTTAGTGTTCTTTGGTTACTGAAGTGTTTGTATTAGTAGCTGGAAAATTCCTAATTTTAATTGTTGAGCATGAATTTATTCCTCTCTAGGATTGTTTTTGGGTTATGCACCTACAAATTGAACTTTTCCTGCAACCAAGCTCTATTTCCTCTTTTGTTTTGACTCACCTCTTTATATTTCCCATAGAAAGATCCTGAACAGAAAAATAGGTAGCTTCAGCTGAATTTACTACCAAATGATGGAAGCTTTAACCTTCAAATGATCTACAATAAAGCCATGTCGGCTTCAGAATGATGTGTAGCCTTATATTGTTGTTCATCATCTACCCGACCATGGTATTGCAGCGTGAACGTAACCATAGAATTACTTCATGAGCCAACTTACTTTGCAACTCTATATCTGTAATTGTAATGGTGACCCAACATTCCATTGATTGATGAGATCTGCAGACTGACACTGTGGGCTCGACATCATAGAAAGAGAACAGACCTGGAGAATGTGGAAGCCACCTCACATTCACATGATAGCCAACTCATAAAGATGTAACATATGTCAGCTTATCCTTGTTTTGAACCACATATTAGCTCATAACAGGCACATCCAAGATACTTGTAAAAGATCACTTCCAAAACACTCAAGAGGTTCCTTCTTCTGAGAGCATTTGAGCCATATCACTTTCGTGTATGTCCCTTGTGTTTCTGTTTCTGTGCACTTAAGACAATAGTAATTGGTCCTGTTTTGGCTTCTGAGTTTTTTCTCTTGCATTTCTTATCTTTTTGTATCATCTATATTTGTGTGTGTTAATGCAAGCTGGCATTACCAAGGCTACTCGTGTTTTGTATGTGGCCTTGAAAGCTGAATAATTTTATTTCCTAATCAGGTAACTCAGGAATTCTTCTCCATGTATTTCTCCAGTCTGCAATACAGTAGTCTGTATCTTAAATGTGTTTGTTCTCAAGCTAGATACCCTCCAAAATGAATTAAAGCTTTACCTGTTATGTGGTGTCATTAAATTCAGAAATTTAAGATGCAGGTCACTCTCAAAAGTGTCAAGATTTGTTTCCATAATTTGCATATGAAAATACATTTCTTGGGAGAAGTTATATCTTGCGCAATGTGGGTCTGGTTGCTTCTTAGAAACCATCTTCTAATCTGTTCAACATTATTGATAAATATCACAATACCTTTTGCATAAATGCATTTGATGCTGGGGATATGTTATTTATTTATGCGGACTTTGTGACTGAGATTATAATGTGGGATGTGACTTTGTATGAGCTTGCAGGTAAAAACAGTACATCTTGCATTCATTAGGGAGCTAAGTAGCATTTATCAGTATTCATGAGGCTTATGGAGGGGGTTCAATCTAGTAGCACACCTGCATATATCTTTAATCCTGTTTAAGAAGTAGTAAAAGCTGCAGATGTAGCGTTCCTATTCCTCCGATAAGCTCCATTTGATGGATAGAGCTTTTTTGTATTTGAAGTGTCAATTTGCTTTGAACAAGGGACCTGATTTGTAGTTTTCAGCCGTTGCACTTTATACGATAGTCTTGGTAGTGGTACTTATCAAGTATTCCAGTTATCTTTGCTAAGCTTAAACTGAAAGATCCTTATCCTCGTGATATTGACTACAGAAAATCCTGTTTTTTTTTTTCTTTTGTCAATTCCCTACATAGTGAAAATACTAGATAGTCTATTACTTCAGAGAAATTGGTAACATTCTGAATCACAAGTATAGATGATTTCCTATCATCAAATTGAACACATCCATAGGATTTGTGGTATCATTATCTTTTTGGGGCGGGCTTGGAGGTGTGATTCTTGGGGAAAATGTATAATAAATGTTTGATGGAGAATAATATCAAAGTCATTGTTTAGTTTGACGCTTTAAGAATTGGAAACAAGTTCACGGAAGCAGAGAAAGAGGTGGGGTGAGGTGAGGTGACAACCGGATAAGAAAGAATTGGACCATGTTCAAACTCATTTCATTTCCACCAATATTATTATGAACTTTGTTAAAACTTTCACTTTGAACACACTGCACACACATGTATTTACTTAGACCTGAGGCAGTGCAAGCCAAACGTGGGCGTCTAGTGTGCACAAATAACGTGCTGCTGTAAATAACACTGCTATTTTATATGAACCAGAAACAAGGGAAACAAATATCAAGCAACATGATAGCTGCTTTACCACATTCAAGTCCACACAAATTTCATCCTTCTTTCATAAACCACAGTACATTTTTTTTTTCTTGTTGCATTTTCTTTCTTTACAAACTAGGGTTTAGTTACACAGTAAGAAATCTCCATTGGTTGACCTTGACAACACCTGAAGTTTTGATATCAAATACAATGGACTCTCAACCCACAACTGGGATAACTTCAACTTGTCATCATCAAGAATCCATTGCTCAACCAATCCTTTTGATGATCACTTTGCCTTTTTGTTCCTTGGGATTACCCTTATGGGCAATCCCCGTTTGGGTACAGGGAATGGCCCATATTGGATACCGTCTTTGTCTCCTACAACTTGCCACCTGTAACCAATCACATAACAAAACCACCCATCAGTAAACATCTATATTACCACCAAAAGAGGATGAGAACAAATTTGACTACTAAAAAAATAAAAAATAAAAAAATTTCGTTAGTTTCAAACGTATAGACCCCCTGACTCCGACTCTTTATCTATCTTACTATGTGGCCAACATCGAAATTCAACTTTGATTTAACTCCATGATTTTAAACAATTATGTTTACTGTTAAATTTAGATTTGAATGAAAGGGTTTCACTTTCTTGGAAAAATAATTAAAATATTAAAAAATGTACAACGTGGAGGGAAGCAGTGGTGTAATTGTAAATGAAAAAGAAGAGTACATATTTGTCTTCGGGTTGTAAACAACTGGCATTATATATATACTATATAATGTGGAGTTTGTACAGCTGGCAAAGGTCGTCGCTTACTGTGGATAATAATTAGGTAGTCTCAAATTGGTCAGAATCACGTTTGTTTGACAGAGATTAGAGAATACGAGGACGGGGAAGAAAGGGGTGAATCAGTGATGGAGACGGCTGCGAAATATCGTTGAATGAGTTTGGATATATATATATATATATATAGTAACTCAAAACTAAGCAGGTTTAATTAGAAGAAGAAACAACAGGAATACGTTTGCATAATATGGCATGCATGCAAACGACGTCTAATCATAATCCTAATCTCCTTCCCGCAATCCCTATTCCTGTTGGTAATTAAGAGTGAGCATTAGAATGAGAATCCTGAGAGGACCTGTAATTAGTAGTCAGATGGTGAAGAAGAATATGCATTTCAAGCTTAGCCAGCTCACTGCCTGGACACGAGTGCACTCCATTGCCAAATGGCAAGTACGTGTTGGGTCTTGGTGGCACCTGCACAATCACACACAGACACAAATTTAAAAATATAAATTAAATTAAAATGAAACCTGTACATCTTCCTCATCTCTTCTCTTCTTCTGTTCACCACCGAACTTTACATACTTCCAAATAACCCTATATTCACTACACTACTGTTACTACCCAACAAACCTAACTCACGTGTTCTGATACTTTGAAGATTTTATCAACATTTCTTTCAAATTCACCAAACATTCATTTTAACCTAATGAAAACGACACTACCATTCATCCATAACCTTATATTTCTTCACCATCAAGATAAAATTTACATATCTTATAGCAGCGTCATAAGATATCTCACCTCGAATCTCGAAGGGTCAAATTTTTCGGGTTGAGGGAAGAAATCAGCACAGTGATGAATGCTTCTGAAGAGAGGAAGAACCTTCCAACCTCTAGGGATAAAGTAACCTTCAAGCTCAACATCTTGAACAGCTTCTCTGAATGTGAATGAGAGTATGCTTGCTGTTCTTAAAGTCTCTTGAATCACCTGATCAAATCCATTTTAACTTCAATTATAAGTACTGTTTTTATTAGCTTAATTAATTATTTGTTTAAATTAATTAATTTGGTCAAAGATAATATAATACCCTGGTAGTCAAAGGCATGTGCCTGGTATCCTCCCACGTAAGCCCCCGATTTGCTTCTATTATTTTGCGTCGAATACCTTCTTGTTCCCTCTGTAACACATGATTGCCAATCAATGTTATATATTGAATATAGACCTGCTAATTTCTTATATTATTTTATTAAAAATGGAATGATTCAAAAACAAATTAATTCACTTAAATTAAATGAAATGATTATTACCGTAACAGCTTCTAGTAAATCTCCATTATCATGCAGGTACTTTAAGATCCATGTTAAAACACTAGCAGTTGTGTCATGAGCAGCAAAGATGACTCCAATAATATTATCAGCAATCTGAGAATCAGTAAGGTGATTAATTTTATCGTCTTTAGCTGCCAATAACACTCCCAACAACCCTTCAATTTCTTTCCCACTTTCCCTTCTCTTTTGTATCAATCTCCTCAACGTCTCATTGAGCTGCTTCCTTGCCTTTTAAGACAAATAACACCACATCACATCAACAGTAATAAACAAGGTTAATTGTGGACCTTGCCTTAACTAAAAGAAACAGTCTTTAGTTACCTTCATTGCTTTATGAAATGGAGTTCCAGGTAGATCTAAGGGCATAGAATTGTAGCCCTTCTCTAAACATTGATACAAATTTTTGATACCTTCCATTTCTAAATCTTGCCGGCCTCCAAAAGCCGATATCATTGCCACATCAAAAGCATACTAACACAACAAAAATATAAAAATAAAAACAAACTTTTAGTAAGATTCTTTATTTTGCAGAGAGTCATGCAGTAAAAGATAAATACGGTTTAACAAACAGACATATATACCCTCTTCATTTCCTGTAAAGTATTAATTGTTGCGTTTTTCCATGTAGGGAGAAATTTCAAAACAATCTGCTCAATCTCTGAAACCGATCCTCTTATTGCAGAAGGTAAAAAAGAAGCTTGAACCAGCTTCTTAAGTCTTGAATGATAGGCCCCTTGGTGAAAAAAAAAAGCATCTGGTCCTATCATTTTCTCTTTACTGGGTGGATAAGTCGGTTTAAACAGATGAGCCTGACTGACTAGCACAACTTTTGCTGCTTCTGGGCTTGAAATCATCACACAAGGACATCCCAGTATGTGTGTCTTGAATATATCTCCATACCTGCAATAAATAACTATGAAACTAGAAACAAAATGGAGTATACACTAGATAATTTTAACCCGATTAATTAATTTAGAGATGGTTATCATAAGCAGTAGGTAGGAGTTTAAGGATATTAATATACCGTTTTTGCCTATTGGAGAAAAAGAGATTGGGATTCTCAGTGTAAAGCTTAAGAGTCTCTCCAATATAAGGCCAGCCCATAGAACCAGGGGGGAGGCGTTTGTGATTGGGGTAACGCCATTGGAGAAAGAGAAGTAAGAGAAAGAAAAGAGAAGAGAATGAAAGAAGAAACATGAAAAGAAGAAACATAAAGTGAAAAGGAAGTGAAGAACAAGAAAGTTGCATGGTTACAAAAAGAGAGAAAGAGAGAGGTGGCAGGCAGAGGAATGAGGGAGAGTATGTGGTGAAGTGGTGGGATTTAAATAGGGCGGAGAGGGCAGTGGTGGTTCGTGACAGACGTCACCACATTTCTTGGAACACCTTGCCATACTATTTTCTTTTTCTTTTTATATTTTTTCTTTCTTCTTTTTGTATTTTGTGTGCTTTTAATTTTCAAACTTAAAGCAAACCCCCCTTCATTTGTCGCATCATATACTTAAATATCAAACTATATGTATTCATATTATTACCTTTAAAATACTTAGTTTGAGATATGGCTGAAATGCATCCTTTCTCTATTAATAACTACTCCTTTCTCTATTATGTTTGATAAAAATGAATTTGACAATGATATTATTAAGTTACTCATTATAACGTAATAACATATACAAAGTTGATAAGCTTAGTCGAATTACTTTAAATATATACGAAAGGAAGAATCTTATGATAGAAAAGATTTTATTATATCAAACGATACGAACGTCATACTTATGATGAAAAGAATCAAACGAGAAGAAGTCTCTTAATTAAAATGGGTGCACATGTCTTTGTCTATTCAATGTGTGCCTATAATACACACATCTGACGTGTATCTAAGGTGATTACATCAGTGGTGCGTGTCTATCTCAATTTTTACATGACATATTAACCGATATAGAATAATATATTACACGCAACACATCATAGTAATTATGTATAGAAAAAAGTAGTTTTGCATCACTAGAAATAAAAATTTGTAAATTTTACTTATATAAAATGTATAGTTGGTTATTAATAAAGAAAAAACAAGATAGAAGATGTTAAAAAATTGAACCGAGTTAGACATGGGGAAAGGATCCAATTTCCTTAACGGGAAAGAAAGGATGATGCAAAAAGGCAGTTGGACTAGATTGGGCATGAGATGAGGATGAGTCATAAAAATGAACAGGCGTCAAGCGGGATGGAAGAGACAAAACACCCCGTCCCATGATTTCCTCAGAGTTATCGTCAGCCCAGCAGAAGCCCGGCCCAGCCCAAGAGGGATCTTGTCAAACTCTAACACGTGTAGGTGACTCTGAACCGTGTGTCAGACTCTTTGATTTCAGTCCGTACTTTGAGAAATGTAAGCCAAGGTAAACCGTAAACCAAGCCAAGTAGCCAACCCCTTCTTTTCTGCGTCTGTCTTACCCTTCCACTTTAATTTTGCTATTTTAGGAAAATAGTTCACCATCTCCGTTACATGTAATGTAACCAGTAGTGGGAACTTAAACTCAAATGCACAACCTTTTTATAGTAAAAATAGACAGTGACAGCATAAAATGGTTTATAATAATAATAAAAAGAAATGGGTTCCCGATTATGATTGGCAATGATTTGTCATTGATGTGATATCACTTAACAAACATCTAATGCTGCCACCTGTGTTTTCTTTTTGTAATTTAAGGTATGCATGTAATCTAAATCTATTAGAATAATTCCGTTATTGGAAATCAGATATTGATGCCTTTGATCTTAAATAATAAACAAAACTAGGCATATTATATAACAAACTTGATTAAAAAATGGATGAACCGAAGCTATTTCACGTACAATTAAATAATAAACAAAAAGCACGTAATTTTTTGGTTAAGAAATGGGGTGTTTTGAAAGAATAATCCAAGTTATGTTAAAGGTGGGATGTGTAACCAATTCACGTGGGGTGCACCACCAACTGTCATCCTCCTCCCTCACTCCGCCACATGCCCTCTTCTTAGTTTCAGTTTTCTCACTTTAAGCATCACTCCCACGTGTTACTTACATCACATCGTCATCCCGTCCCCTACCCACGAGAATTACTCACCATTTTTATTTTTCTCNATGAACAGGCGTCAAGCGGGATGGAAGAGACAAAACACCCCGTCCCGTGATTTCCTCAGAGTTATCGTCAGCCCAGCAGAAGCCCGGCCCAGCCCAAGAGGGATCTTGTCAAACTCTAACACGTGTAGGTGACTCTGAACCATCTGTCAGATTCTTTGATTTCAGTCCGTACTTTGAGAAATATAAGCCAAGGTAAACCGTAAACCAAGCCAAGTAGCCAACCCCTTCTTTTCTGCGTCTGTCTTACCCTTCCACTTTAATTTTGCTATTTTAGGAAAATAGTTCACCGCCTCCGTTACATGTAATGTAACCAGTAGTGGCGACTTTAACTCAAATGCACAACCTTTTTATAGTAAAAATAGACAGTGACAGCATAAAATGGTTTATAATAATAATAAAAAGAAATGGGTTCCCGATTATGATTGGCAATGATTTGTCATTGATGTGATATCACTTAACAAACATCTAATGCTGCCACCTGTGTTTTCTTTTTGTAATTTAAGGTATGCATGTAATCTAAATCTATTAGAATAATTCCGTTATTGGAAATCAGATATTGATGCCTTTGATCTTAAATAATAAACAAAACTAGGCATATTATATAACAAACTTGATTAAAAAATGGATAAACCGAAGCTATTTCACGTACAATTAAATAATAAACAAGAAGCACGTAATTTTTTGGTTAAGAAATGGGGTGTTTTGAAAGAATAATCCAAGTTATGTTAAAGGTGGGATGTGTAACCAATTCACGTGGGGTGCACCACCAACTGTCATCCTCCTCCCTCACTCCGCCACATGCCCTCTTCTTAGTTTCAGTTTTCTCACTTTAAGCATCACTCCCACGTGTTACTTACATCACATCGTCATCCCGTCCCCTACCCACGAGAATTACTCACCATTTTTATTTTTCTCAATTTTATTATAACTGTTATGGCTACAAAATTACACTAACAGTAAGTTTAACACCTATCTAAAAAATAAAGTATATTAGCTGTCAAACTTATATCATCTCAAAGATATTTTATACTAATTCCATCTCATTTTAAGTTAAAGATAAATAAAAGTTCTTCACGTGTTAAAGTAATTTATAAAAATACTCATTACATTGACATCAAATGTGTATAAATAGACACATTTCTTCTTAAAAAAGAGGGTTAGACATATGAGAACTTATTTCTCTTTGTAAATAAAGTATTTCTCTATTTTTGTACGCTTTTTGGATAATATCATGAAAATAGTCAAAGAATGATAAAATAACAGTGAATGTAGGATTTGCTTTAAGTATCTGAACTATTATAAAAAAATCTCTCTTATCTATCTATTATTTATATTTCTGCAAACATAAATAATTTCAACACCATATTTAAATCTCATGAATTCATTTATGTAATTTTTAAGATTTTCTTAATATTTTACACGTGTAAATTGTTGGTGTTAAAATCAATATAAACAGTAATTAATTAAATATACAAATATCTAAATACTAAATAATAATCCTATTTGGTTGTCGTTATCAAATTTACTTGGTAATTGTCGGAAACTTAGAAATAGGCAGGGATTTATGAAACGCCGCAATATAATCCCGGCACGCCATTGCTGGAAGATGGAATTTCCAATGCCACGTTAAGGGCCTTGATTCTCCAACGCACTCAGTGTCTTGGGGATGACCGCTAGTAGTGGTACGTGTAGAGATTTGATTTTAATATAGTTGTGTAAACACGTGGCCACCCACTGATGGTGACAGTGATTGAGGCTTTGTTGAAGTAAATTAAAATGATTTATGTTGGCATCATCTAAATCTTCCAAAAAAGAAATTGCGGCAAATTTAGGAGCATACGTCCTACGGTAAGTTTGAACGGGGCGGGAGTTGGACAATCATGTCTTGTATTGATTTGGGGTTATTATTTAATAAAATAAAAATACGTGGATCAACATTAATTTCTTGAAACGCGCGCAGCAATAGAGCACATCCTGTTCCCTCCAGAAGACTTTATTCATTGAATCAAAGATGATATATGTGTATGTGTATGTGTTGCTTGTCAAAACTGAACACTAACTATCATGTCCACGCCTACGACTTTCAAAGGAGAGATATTTTGTTGTGGGCTGGTACACAACTTTATTTTCTTTTTGTACATCATTTTCTTTACGGGTGTCCTTTAAATACTATTTATGCCAAAGTTTAATGTTTTAAACTAAAGCTAAGCTGGACTGGGTTGGGCTCCGCCGCTCCTCTATACAACACGCCTAACAGACTTGATAAGCACCCAAAAAGGCCTAACAAGAGTAGGTAAGGGAGTGCCCATTCAAATCTTCAATCACAACTCATAAATTTGGCCATGGCCATCAGATTAACACCCCTTCGATTAGCATCCAATGCTTTTTGAACGGTCCTACTTCATTCATATTTTTCATGCCAATACTCTATAAACAAATTATTTAAAAGGAAATAAAATATTAATATCTAGTGGCCAATAAATCATAGCATTCAAAACTCAAAGTTATGCAGCTTCTCCCGCGCTTCACAGACCTTAATTGGCGCCATTTTCAATTGAATGGAACTTTAAGTAGGACGCGTGTCTTTCCACGTAGATCAAAGCGTAACAACTGCACGACACGTAGATCTTAACTTAGCTTAGCTGTATCCATTACAGCCACGAGCTAATTCCTACTACCAAGTTCCAGAATACGCCACGCACTTCGCAAATCTTTGTCGAAATTGGGGTGTATATATATAATCATTAAACGTCCTCGAAACTCAAAACTCTTCTTCCCTACCATTCCCTGGGAGCTCCAACTACAGTTAACCGATAAGTTTACACAGTTATCATTACATTACATTAAGTGAAGTTTAGTTTTGTAAGATGGAGGAGGCGTTGGAGGAGATGATGATGATGATGATGCAAGAAGGGTCTGCAACGCCGACACGTGAGGACTGCCGGATACCAGTGGTGCCAGCGGTGTGTCCACCACCGCCGAGGAAAAAGCCCTGTTCGTTTGGGAGAAAGAAGGAGCCGCCGAAGAACGGATATTTTCACCCACCTGAGGTTGAGCAGCTTTTCACTATGAGTACAAGAGGACATGCACATGCTTGTAGTTAATTAGTTAGTTGGTTGGTTGAATTTGACATGTTTTTGTGAAGTCAAAGAGCAGCCAAGTTAATACTGTAATCCTG